ATCTGTATTAGATTCTAGATCACTCTTAGGAAGAAGTCTTAGTAGACCTGATTAGTAAGCTACCTGAGTCTTAGAGTTACAACACTATCTGTATAATTGTTGACTAATTCTCTAAACAAGTCTACATAGTTCTGACCCAAACAGAACTCACTTCTAAAAGTATAGTGTACATTTATTAGGATTATGTCTTCTAGTTACACAGACTCTCTTAGAAGCTTATTTACAATTGTGGACTGTAATTTGAGTCAAAATTCATACAGAACTTGTATATACTTCTTAGAATTCAAGGGAACCCTTCTACTACATATTACTTGTAGACTGACAGTCAAACTGAGTAAGTCAATCAGGAGATTGAGCTCTACCTCTAGATGTTTATTAATCATTAGTAATTAGATTAGTCTGAATGGTTAACTCTAGCAGAATTTGTGTATAATAACTAGTAACACTCTACAATAGGACAGTCCCTATTCTTTCTTAATTATGAGAGACATTCATACTAGAGAACAGTTCTAAAACTGTAACAGACTTTGTAGAACAGATACACAAGACTAGGGAAGATACACAAGCTCTTTTAAAGAAGGTAGTGTAGGTAATAAAGCAGAACTACAATTGGAAGAGATTTGTAGCTAAGGATTACTAGTCTAAGGACAAAGTTATACTAGAAGCTACTAACCTGACCACAGATTGCCTAATGAAGAAGTTGGACAACAAGTACTTCAGACCCTTTATTATTGAAAAGAAGGTTAGTACCTCTACCTACAAACTCTAACTTCTAGCAATATAGAAGTACATACACCTAGTATTTAACAAGGTTCTACTGTCTTAGTACTATAATCCAGGTTTTCCTTCACAACAAAGACCCCTGCCACCTCCACCAGAACTCATTAGTTCTAAACCAGAATACAAAGTAGAGTATGTAGCAGATACTAAGCTAGTGTGTAGGAAGCTCAAGTTCCTTATCTACTAGAAGGGATACCTAGTTGAAGAACACACTTGAGAACCTACTAAGAATCTCACCTATACTGTTAAGACAATCTAAGATTTTCATTAACTTTATCTAAGTGCTCTGTGTCAACTCTACCTTACAGATTTCCAAACCCTACTGTTCTGACTTATGTCTAAACTACTAACCAAGCCTAATGTTTACTAATTGAGACAATTGGTTTTAGAGAGAGGGTAATGTTACAGTTCTCTACTCTTGTACCTTCAGTTCTAAGGGTTCTGCACCTTTCTGTACTAGAACTCAGGACTTCTGTCCCTTAGGGGCACTGTCTATAAACTATATATGTACTAACTCTTACTACTACCCTTCCTTACTTTATCATTCTATTCCTTTGACCACTCCTTCATTCTTTGTTCATTCCTTAGTCTCTTACCCTTTGTCCATCCCTTCATTCTTTGTACCTTTATCTTTGACCTTCCTTTCTTTCATTCTTCATAGCTTATCATTCTTAGTAGTTCATACTCTCTGAGTGCTCTTGTGTAGTTTAGTATATATAGGTGTATAAGATCAGACTGGTCCTGTAGTCTTGATCTTGTTTACTCTAGGTAGTCCTGTACTCTTAGGCTCACTCTATATACTCTACTCTTGTCTCACTCTCTCTCTCTGCCTGTTCTGCCTGTTCTGACTATGTTCTAGTGCTTGCATTCTGTATTTCTGTTGTGTAGGATAGTTGTAGCCTGGGTCCCCTTGCTAAGCCTTTGGGTCCCCTCTATACTGTTGCTAACATTTGTTAGATGTTGATGCCAGAACTATAAATATATCCAGCATTCTCTCATATACTATATAACCCATATCCTAATGGCCTCTCATCCCAATAGCTGCATTTGCTTTGTGTTTTTCACATTTTTCAATGGCAACCCAGTTTGCTCTGTCTGCCCTACAAAAAATCAAGCTTGTACTCTATCTACACTCTAGCTATGCTCTCAAAATTGACTTATCTCTATTTGTTATCATACTTGTTGCATTGCATGCATGCCAATCAATGGTGCAACAAATATTCTAATACAGTCTTATGTTGGTATTGCAGGCATAAGTCCTTTTTCGAATATGATGGCCGTTTGTGCATTTCTGCAGGATTGATACTCTGTTGGGTAGAGTCTTTCGTGCTGGACCTATGCATGACATAGATTTTTCACACTCCTACTTTCTTAACTACCTTTGTTTATGTGATTATTTAAAACCAACTTAGGTTCAACTTGAGAGCACATTTTACACAGTATCACACTATATGTTCGACAATAGCAGCCTCATGGCTTGTAGATACCCATTGTATCATGAGTTGCTCTGTACTATTTCGCATAACTAAAGGAACAATCTTGTCGTCCAGCTCATACCGTCTTGTATTGATATAAGAGTCTGAAATATTGTTGGGGTGTTTAGAAGTGGTCATTACAGTGTATCGGAAGGTCATTATTCTACATATCCTTAGAGTTGTGCCCTAGGTGCTACATCCTGGACCTGGGAAGCGAGTACTATATGTACGTATACAATTGGACTTAGACAGTCTTCTTCTCCTACCTGTCAAACGCGTTCATCGGATGACGACACGATGCTCTGGAAACACATGCATATGGCACAATGTGGTATACAGCACGTCTAAGAAGTTCCTCCGTGCTGCTCAACTCAACTGGAACTGTCTGAACTCACAGACTTTGGAATATGGTGCAAAGTATTTTGCTGTTTTACACGTATCCCGCAAGTGAGGTAAATGGACGGAAATGCGGTACCTCATGAACGATTCTAGGTTTAGATTTAGGTTTAAGTTTTGCAAGGTTCCATGGTCATGCTCTATGCGTTCTCCTTGTAGTCAATCGATGCCTCCACAGCGGAGTATATAGGGGCGACTAGCATTGGACGATCGACTAGAAGGGCGGAAGTTGAGATTCCAGGAGTTGCTCTTCGGGTGCCTGTAAACCATATGAAAGCATATGATTGTACTCGTTCTATAACTTTAGTTTCGATTATGTATGGGCTTCATCAAATCCAATTGACAAGGGCAAACTATGTGTAGCCTTTCTTCCCGTACTCGGTCATTGACATTAACTTCAAGGTTAGCTGCTTACCCAGTGACACATTCGCGGATCAAACCATCCATAAACTTCACACATTTTCTCCCAATCTGGGCCTTCCTTCGTACCCGCTATTGTCGGGCACTTACTTCACAATTACTATAAGCTCTGTAATCCGCATCTTGGAAATACGCCGGGTAAGTTCAATCAAATCCACTGTATGTCCACTTGTCCACCAGTACCCTTTTACCAATGATTGGATGATGCCTACCTCCATCACCCCTGTGTTGAGGCGTAGGTACTTGATGTACGTCTCTATATGCATGTGCTAACACTGGACGCCGTAAGAGCCGTATTTACGGATAAAATCTGTTTTTGACGAGATAGGAGCTCAACAGATACTTTTCGCGTTTCTCCGGTGAAGTTTTTTTCAGTAGAAAAAAGTCTTTTCTTTTCAAGCTTGGTTTGTGCGGGTGAATTGTCCTCCTCCTATCGGTGCATAGGTGAGCCCGATTCCTCCTTTACGATTTCCCCTCACAGTTCATGTGCAAGTACCGAAAACTTTCTATACTCCGGAGGTTGGCATGGCAAATCTTGTGGTGGAACCCGTGTAGACATTTAACAGTCGAATCACTGCCTCGACGAAACGAGAAGGAGAGTGACTTCGTCAAACAAGTTTTGGCAAATGCCGCGGACTCCCCACTTTATGAACTCGAAAGGCACTTACTGTTTGACACTTCTTTCATGTCGACAGGGACTAACGTATAGGGGCTTAGTAAGATTATTGGTTCCCGCCTCTCCTACTTTTTTTACCGGAATACTCATGTATATGCCCAAATGAAACGCCAGCTTCTTGCAATTAGGTCCATTGATCATTTGATCGACCTAGAGCGGGACCTACGAGCCTACGAGCAGTGAAACTTCCTTTAACCTTTTCTTATTCTTATTCTCGCTGTGTGCCAAAGACCTAGCAAAGAACGTCAGTGCAGCGTACACTTACACAAATAAAGTACAGATAAATAAATATAAACAAAGGCTTGGCTCTGGTTCAGATCAAGAAGCGGGTGCATAAACCCGCATTGTTAACTACTTCCCAGGAATGAACGTTATTTGTCTAAGTCGCCAGGATAGATACTAGCTGTAACGTAAGAAGCGATACTGTCATGTCCGAAAACATTTGCACACGAGCTATAAGATAGAATTTAGAACAATTCATCGCTGATAATTAGTACACACGCCTTTCATAGGCATTAATTCTTCAACAAAACAAGTTAGTCAGATATACATCAGGGTACTTAATAGATGGACATGGTCTGAAGGAACTAGTCTCCCTATGTCAAAGATCCTTGTGCATCGTAAGCATGTCAGGAAACTAATGTATAGACTCGTTAATTACGCCACGAGGTTATCCAATGGTTATGTCGGGCTATTGGTCATCGAAGTGGTTAGGCCTTATGTCTCGCATCAAAGTACTTGCTGTGGGAAGTACGCCACAGTATCAAAACTAATCGAGAGGACACAAGCATTGATATTAATTTAGCCATTCACTTACCAAATCTTGCTCAATAGGCACTCATATGACTTGGTGCCATGTGTATGAAACTACAATACATGCGACAACACCGTATCATAATCTGTAGTGCGGCATGTCCTGGACATACGAAAGTTGACAAATTTCTGGATGACTGAAACGCATGTTACTTTTCCAAAGCCTGAGGTAGCGAACAACTCTGCACCTTGGGTCTTCCAAGCACCACTGCTATCCAGTTCGGTTCTGTGCTTGATTGTAATCAGGTTCGACTGGTGTCGTCTCGTGGACTACACAACATGTCCAAAGTCGAGACACGTCTAGGTCCAGAAAAATGAGGCTCGGATCTTGTGGACGTTCGGTGTTCGCTCGGTGCAGGGAAGTTTTGTTCCTTCCGTGCATACATCTGTAAACGATGTGCGTACCATCAGAACTATAGACCTTCCAGGGACAAAGGGGGGAATGATAGCAAGCAAAATAGTGCGAAGTCTCGTGTATGTTTAGCGCATTCTTAGTCGCAGGGAAAGGCTAAATCCCTTCGTCAACGCGTCCGATAATTGTGGCTTGTACGTAAAGAAACGCAGCTCCTCCTGGAGTACACAGGATAGCGTCAGCGAGGAGGGACAACAGAAGGTCCTGTGATTATATCGTTTACAGGAAAAGGGCTTTCCCTCGTCCATACATCACTGCACTGTACACTGGTGTAGAGATGCAGGTTCATGTAGCGCGACCAAGCAAGATTATACAGCTCGCCCCTGTACAGATGACGACATGTTTCTTTCGAAGGTTAGTCCGCGCCAGTCTCCACAGCATTTTTGATCCGCTGCCCTTGGATCTCAACCCTCACCGGGGTAACGAGTCTAAACTAAATTGAGCTGGAACATATACAGATGTAGGCAGGGAAACTTCAAGAAAACCTAGAAATATTTTCTGATCGTACATTCCATTCTAGTAGTCGACAATTCGTCCCTCGGTCTTACCGTACCAGAACATGTCCTCTGTCCAGGTGAGACAATTCATTACACGTGCATATTTTTCCTGACCTACTTGTATTTGTACTTGTTTGGATACTGTATTGATGGAGGTGATGTACGAATTTTGATGTGGAGTATATTCCAAGGGTGATGCGATCAGGATTTCAGGAAACTTAATGATCCCGAGTCGGGTAGGAAGACCCAGTCGGCTAGGCTAGGTGCTTGCAGTGAGATGTAAGATGGCGGGCTAGGAGATTGGGATGGAGGTGATGGCAGAGGGCCGGATGTAGGTATGTGATGTAGGTATGCACTGGGCAGCGAGCAGGGTTAACTCGGAGGGGCTTGGCGGCTAGGTTACTTACGAGAACGGGATGATCGGAGTGTGTATGCAAAGAAGTCCCCAAACGGAAATGGAAAGTCAAGTCGTGTGGGAGTTGAGTGGGAGTTTGGGCTGAGAAGCTCCAGGGATTCCAGAATGGAACGTTGGTGTTCTTCCCGGCTGTTGTCATCAATGTGTAACCCATACATATCCCACCCGGCGTGCGTCTTGCTCCAAATTAACACATGAGAAGATATAATATGTATATGTGCGGATGAAAGAAGCCGGGAAAGAATAGGAAGAAGCAAATTGTACTGCATGCAGAGATTTGCACTGTGTCCGAGGAGAAAAGAAGTCAACGGGAATTCGGCATCTCCTCATTATTAATGGAGGTTGTTGGAGTTGGTTTGGGCGCGCGCTACGAGTAACCTGCCTGCGAAGAAGAGAAGCACATTCAGCAGACGGACGTGCACAAAGTTGGATTTGGAAAGGGACATCCGTGCGCGAGAACGTCGGAAGAGTGTGTGCAATTTCGTTTCCGTGTGTCTGATTCTGAGTTTGAGAGACGGGAGTGTTTGAGGCTTGCGGATATATTGCTCTGCCATACTGCGTACTGTTTGCGCGCTAGACGAAACATATGCGTTTCCTGCGGCTCTTTTGCACTGTGTAATGCAACGTCAGTCTGCAGCTTGTGTCTGGGCAGTGGCTGAGTGAGGGCGTTGTGCGCTGTGTGATGTGTCGTACGGAGGACGGCGTGAGAGCCCAGTGGGGATAATGGGTCGTGAATCGTTATTACCTAAAATGGACGTTAGTTTAGCTTGCATCAGAAGATTCGTTTGTACTGGCGATGCAGCCCTGCCACTCCCTGGCTGAGCTTCTACATAGATGCTCTTGCGTACATAAGTCCCTCTACATCTCCCGCCGTCGCGACCGACTCCCTCTCGAGTCTCCCTCCTCGTGTCTTTCCAACACCTCCACCTCCGGTACCACCACTCTCCCGTGTTCGCTGCTCTTTGCCGCAGGAGCACTAGTCTAGCCCCTCGTGCAGCCCACGCGTCTCGCATATAGAGACCACCTACAAGAGTCGTTGAGAACCATTTGCTTGGTGTCCCGCGTCTCGCTGTGTTGTCTTATTCCTTCCTGTCCTTGACACTACTGCTTCCTTACGTCGCTGACGACGATCCTTGCCTGCTGATTCGCCTTGAGTTCTATTGTGACTCTTCCGTCCATACGAGCTCGGTGGAGAGTTTGACTGAGCTACCTCGTGGGCTGTCATAAACCGCGACCGTCCCGCGCGCGTTCGAACTTGGGTCGCGCGACGTCTCTTGATTTCGCGTTCTGCCGGATCCGCGCCTGCCTTCGCTCCGCAAGGTGACGGCGACCGACCTCCGCTCATCACACGATCAGCAGCCCCGTTACTTCTGCCGTCCGCCGACGATCCCCATCTCGCGCCGCTCTACAGCCTATACACACTAAAACGTACCGTATCACTGCCTGTTAATTCTCTTGCGCCCTTACTGCGACTCCGTCATCTCTGGCATCTTATATTGCGACTACATACCTGCTTCTAGTACCAGTACCTGTCTATCCGCTGTATAATCTGTTTCACTATCAACAACACACTCCCGCCATGTCCGCGCCGATGAACATTCAGCACCGACGCACTCCTTCGGCGACCATCTTCGCCGCTCCGCAACCTTCGCATGCGCATGCACGCAGTCTCTCTGGCCAGTTCGGTACCAGCTGGTCAGACGCGTTCGAGTGTGTCTCATTCTTTGTTCTTATATGTGTTGTTGCTGACAACGCGAATGTTTGTAGCTTCACCTCGTGCTCCCCTCTCAACTCCGAACTTCACCTAGGCGCGACGTCGCCCCCCATGAGCACCGCCTATTTGCCTTCGTCATTCTCGTCCTCATCCTCGCTAGGGCTATCTACCTCTACATCGATGTGTGCCTCCATGTCGATGTCTTGCTCTCCGCGAGCGGATTATTTCACCTTTGAGCGTAATTATGTGCGTGTACTTTCCTGTCTTTCCCCTCATTGGTCTTTGTTGTTCTACTGTATTGCAATACTTGGTATTGCGCTTTACACCCGAAGCAACTCTGTTGAACAAGGGATGGGCGGACTAGGAGATTGAGCGGATGGGTTCCCATACACCCCATGCACTGGGACCTAACAACAGGACAGGAATGGATGGAAGATTGCAGGAAGCAAGGAAGTACAGACGCCAGAACGCCGGTTCCGGCGCCGGGGACTAGCTGGGTACGAAAGCGGAAGTTGCCTTGGCTCCTTTCGCATCCTCCGTTGTTCAGATCCGGAGTGGATGTGCATGCACTGTTTGTCCGCATGAATTCGATGAAATGCTTCCGCTCAATCTTCCCTGATGTGATCCAATCCAATCCAATTTGCTATTTTGTTTCTTTTTACTCGGTTTGAATGGACGTGGGCGCTTGCATCACCGCCCGGGCAAGCCCTCTGTTCGCCGTTGCTTTCTAATCAACCCCTCTCTTATCTCCTCGGACATCCAGCGCTGATCTCTTCTCTTGTGCTTCTCAACTTCACAGTGTTCCAACTTCGCATGCTGTGGCATCACGCTCCCCGACATGCACGCACTCGTTGCCCACTTCGAGGAAACACATATCAACACACCCGACGCCGCCGTGCCATTTGCAGCCAACTGCGGCGTGGGCCAGCGCGTTGGCGTGGCGGTACCCCAGTCGAAGCCCGTTCCGCAAATTAATGTTAACACTACTTTCGGAATGAACCTGCGTCCGGGCACCGCGTCCAGCGACGCACCCTCACCGCATTCGTCCGTTGGTCCCGAGACTCCTCCACCTGCATCTCACGTGCCCGCGTATGGCTTCCCTTCGCAGCCACAACTGCAGGTCCAGACGCACATGTATGCGTCTTCTCGTGCTAACACCGCTTCGCCCTATCCGCACTCGCCCTTCTCGAGTAACTCGCCATATGCGGCGTCTCCGCTTTCTGCGGGCTCTCCCGCCAGTTCAGGCGGTGCTGAGCATTCGGATGCATCTGGATCTAATTCCGGCTCTACGGAAGAACTTGGTATGGATATTGATGTTGATGTGCTTATGCACTTTGACCCGCTTGATGGTGGTGCACATACACCATTGGATAGCACACCTCCCTCACCACTTGCTCACCCGATTCGACCAGCATCAGTATTGCGTGCTGCAGCCCTCAAGAATAATGGCACTCCAGATGCGCCTCCTGTTGGTTTCCCGCCCTCGTTGTTTACTGCGCCAGCTCCTTCCTTGGAAAGAGACGCAAGCAGAAACTCGTCGAAGAAGGAAAAGAAGGAGAAGAGAAGTCGACCGGACAGCCCTGTTCTCGAGGAATCCGGAAGCTCTAGCTCTGGTGGAGCTGTGCGTAGAGAGAAAGCCCGCAAAACAATAAGTCCAATGAACTCGTTACTTGGGGCGACTGTCTCACGCACATCTTCAATTTCGTCCCATGATGCGTCGCCGAGCAGTGAGGAAGGCGACAAGGAAACTTGTACACAGGAAGAGAAAGTCGAACGTGAAGTACGAACTGGGAGACCGGAACGAGTAGAGAGAAATGAGAAGGGTGGCAAGAAAGTACGCGAAAAGGCGTACAAATGTCCTAAGCCAGGATGCACGAAGGTAATAATTGTTTGCTAGTTACGATTGCACACTATTGATATTTCTGGTTTTGTGTTGTAGAGCTACCTCAACCCGAACGGTCTCAAGTACCACACTTTGAAGGGTACATGCACTTTTGCAGACGGTTCCACTGCGCCTCCGACACCCGTTACGCCGACCACTCCTTCTGTTCCGTCCGTTCCATCTCTTCCACTTACCGCTTCAAACTCGCCAATCCTATCGAAGGCACCTGTTACAAGCTCAACAACCATGACATCACCCACTTCTCCGTTAGCACATGCATATAGACATCAAACTGGAATGCCGGTTATTGCTCCCCCGGCAGCTCCGTCAATGATGATGTATGCACCTGGCGTCTCGCAAGTGTGCTAAACTGTTTCACTTCTCACATGCGAGCAAGTGGGGCAGGCAGCGCGTGGAGAGGCATCGGGAATGTTTGTTTCCGGCGAAGTCCCGAGTTCCAAGCGAGGCTGAGCGGAAAAGTGGTTAAAGGGTTCTTCCTTCTACGAGGCAACGTTGGGGAGGTGTATGCGGTATGGACGATCTGGGATCTCGGTTGTTTGCTTGGTGGCTTTTGGCACCGAGTAGACGAAAGTCAACCTTAGCGACGATGAAGCGAGGCCGAGAAATCGGACGAGGCGGGGTTTGCACCAGTTTACAAGCGTTGTTAGCTGTGTTTCAAGCTTAGGGGAATATTCTGTTACCCGGTCATCCCGATGTCCCGTCATTCAACCGTGCAGCCGTTCAATGGAATAGGTACGCGACGATCGTGCGATGTCGGATTTGAGTCCGTCATGGGAGGGGAGGGGCGGCGCCCGTCTAGCATGTTGGCTTGGATCTTCGGCCTCGGTTGGCCTTGTTCCTGGATTCACTGAGTCCACTTCGCCACGGTCATTAGGCTCGATCCTCACCAGTTGGACTCAATTCGTGTCAGTCTCTATCACGGTCCATGAGGGGATCGAATAGTTTGGAAAACAAAACGCCTCGAAGACAGGAGATCTCTGATTTCTCCGCGAAAAGTAAACATTTTGAATGTTTGCGCTGAGCGTCGACATTCAGAATGTTGACTAATAATCTCATACCCGCCACTGCGCGTCTCAACCCCAGTCGTCTCCATTTCATCTTATTACTTGCTTTCCCCCAAACCTCAGGCCTTGATATTATATTCGAACTCGAACCCCACTCCATTCGCATTTCAAAAACCGAACTTATAATTTTCATTTTGCCTCCTGCTGCCTGTCTTATTTGCTCACCCTGTTTATCGTCACCATACAGTGTTGACGGATTTCTCTTCTCTCATCTCAATATTTCCGCTCCGTACCATATCTTGCCGTATAACATCCCGTCTAAAATCCTGACTTACATTCCTCACCGCGATAACCCTTGTCCTGATAGTACTCTCACTCTCCTGTCTCTTGTCCTTTTCTATCTCTTAACCTCCGTACGAAAAATTCTTTCTTTTAAAACCGTTGCTTTATTTGATATATGTTTATATCCTTCCTTCTTTCATACCTTGTCCGTTATCTCTGTTCCGTTTTTGTTTCTTTCGTATTTCGTTCATTTTGTGTTTGACTTTTTCTTTTTCTTTTTCCTGATTGATTGACTAGTGCGTATTAGCTTACTCGTATGATCGTATAGACCGACTGGTTACCTCGGTATGTTGGGGTGAATTGGAGATGTAATTAGTTAGGAGTTTTCTTTGTTTTGTATGAGACGCGGTACTTTGTTGGGACTTCGGGTGTGAATATTGAAGATGAGGCAGTTAAATCCGTTGCACTTCGCTAACATTTACATAATCGTAAGTGATGGAAGTCGCGTATGCAACTGCTTATATCCTAAACTTGGTATGCCATGATTAACATCTCACCTACTCGATCCCTTCACTCACTTCAGTAAAGTAAGGCGCAGTGGATGATGTGATGTGAACACTTGACAATCTGGGGAAATCTAAAAGAAAAGCTAAAACAGTCTAAAAGTCCGAGATCGGGATGTCTATGCTTTAAGTTTCGTGCATCTCACCCCAAGAAGCATCCGAACTCAAGCTGAGACGCTTGAGCCACATATCTTCCACGTGTGATGGATGGCGCAGAAGTTGATGGGCTGTTGAATGATGAAGATGTAGATACTCATATCATTAGTGATTCGTACAATGATACATCCGCGGAATTGCCCCATGCATACAACAAACCGTCGGTGCTGGTGGTACTGGTTGGTTTGGTGAAGCTTAACTCAAAAGACGTGGCGCATCATAATTAAGACCTTTGAGAGCTGCAGATTAGACTTTGGCTTGTGCTTGTGAACTTCTTTCTTTATTATGTACATAGGTAATTTGACCCATTCTGTCCGTTTGCTTGTTTACTTTCCTATTGGTGATTGATAAAATTTTACTGGGCACTTTTGACTTCTGCTTCGACAAGATTTGAGTGAAGAGGAGATCTAGTGAAGATTCAGAGAAGTTAAAGGTAGATTGCATTCGAGGACGAAAAATTTAGGTAGAGATAGAGTGTAGCCGAGTCGGAAGTGCGAGGACTTACCTTTAGGATTGAGTGATGCGACTCGGGATGCTTTAGCACTGTGCAGTGCTGCATATTAGTCTCAAAGTGACAAGTGCGTGCCTAACGTTTAGTTAGTGTATTTTTGCCTGCAAATCAGTATAAGTTTATTGCTGACCGCATTACCATTATGTAATACTAACGGGACATGCAATTGCGAGATAAATGTTTACTTACTTTACTGACCTTCTTCCCAAGCCAAGCATTGGCTGCTTTCATTTACATCCTTCCCAGCCATTGGCTGAATCATTGACAGTGATGGCTATCGATATTGCTATTAATATGACAGTCATCATTATAACATTTCCGCCCCCCTCCCCTTACTGGATCTACCAAACACTGCGCCCATTGCTCATCCCCATCCATCGTCTGGAGTGCATCATGCTTCTCTTCTTCCCTACTCTCCGCTTTCCATCCTTCTCCTATCTGCCAATAGTAGCTTCAGCTCGGCAAGCCTGAGAGCCCGGACAAATCAGTACAAACAGCGGCGTACACATTTTGATATGAAATTTGTATATTATCGACACAGTGTGTGCTCGTATACACACGGCATATTCTCTTGTTATCTGTGTAGCGAAATACAGCATGTCTCTAAGCGAACAAGTTCAAAGAAGCGATAGACGGGGAACTCGTGAGCCTCGTGTAAGTGTATGTTATCGTGTACATAATACTGTATTATAATGCTATGCACTTGGATGAGGGGTGTACGCACGGCGCAGTATGGAGAGGTCCTTGTGACGTCTTTACGGTAAGAGGCGGCAATGGATCAATTCATATTGAAGCTCAGAAACGTTGGAAGGGATTAATGGTATCATGGCAATGTTGCCTCGCGGCAAACGACCGGGCTAACGAAAAATAATATATTAATTTGAAATCATCCCCTAGAAAGGATTTACGCCCAAGAGGTGAAGTGCCTGATAGAAATGCAGAAAAGAACGGGTCTACATCCCGAATATATAGGAAATGAAACGACTTCACGAGGAAGACATGGACCTGAAAGGTTATGGACCATTGAAGAGGCTATGAAGGCTATAGCTACATCCTAAAGCCTAATTCCGACAAGTCGTGCCCCGAGTCGGCGCCGCACGGAATTCCTGAGGACTCTGTGGGATCTCAGCACACACAGCCCACGGAAGCATTCCTGACAAGCGAGCAAATGGGGGAACGAAAGGGTGAAATAGGGTAGTCACTAGACAAACGACAGCAAGGAAAGGAAAGACCGGAAGAAGTCGAAATAGGTAATAGGAAGACCAGGAAGCATAGCGAATTTCGTCTTTCCCTTTGCTTTCTTTTACTACATAAATGCCATTTGCTATACGCGTGCAGTACATAACGTTTAGCAACATGCGTTATTATATTTTGGAGCTAGCGAGAATTTGCTATTGGAAATTTGAACAGGAGGCAAAATTGTTGAGGAGAGGGGAGAAATGGAACCGAATCGTGTCCTTGAGCAGCTGGATTGCCATTCAAGTGTGTGCACATTTGTTGATGCCCGAACAGACCGAAGAAGAGGCACACTCTATGTGCAGGCATCGAGGCACGCTGAGTAGCATGCGATCGAATACTAACATGTGTAGTGTGTGTCGTACAGCCTGTCAAGCTAGCCTAAAAACAAATTACAAATATCATTATGTATACAACATGCTAACGCTCTATGAAGAAGACGGATTGACTTCCTAATCATCCTTGAGGCGCATCTGTTTTATTTATGTACATCTTGTATACATTTTCATAATCATTCACAAAGTTCCGGTACCGCATACGCTGTACGTAGACTAGATTGTGTTGTCACTGTCGTTGGGACAACTTAACAACTAGCCGCGCGCACGAACGTCCGGTTTACTGGAATGCAGATCATTAGATTCGAAATTATGGCCCAGGCTCGACAGCTGCTTGGCGGAACTAGAAGGATAGACCACAGTCTTTTACGGAAGTAAATATCCAACATCGGACAAACGAGTCAGAAAGTTGGATTCGACTATTCAGCCATAGAAGTTGAACTACATGCGCCTTCTGTCGGTGAGAACATTCTCAACGCCAATGAATGTGTGAAGAATGTGAAGAACGGAATAGTGCGGGAAAAAAGCTAGTTTAGTAGTTTACTATACTATACAGACGAAGCAGCAATAGCGAAGAGTCGCGGATATGGAGTTAAACGGTCCTTTTATCGTATGTATTCAAACTCTTACAATACATACATGGAGTGTTCGGCATAAGCGCCGCGAACATACCATTCCTTATGGGTTCTCTTTCAGTCGGGATTAGATGGAGCGCTCAGAGTGGGTTTGATTCTTCTTGACAAGAGATATGAAAGACATGTGATGTGCAAAAAATTACGAGAATTTAAAGTAGACTTTGTTCCTTCAAGTACACAGTTTCGAATCCATATGCACGCAAATTGGTTACGAGTGTAAAAGAGTCCGGTGAGTGCCTGCAAAGCGCTACGACTCGTATGATATTATGAAACACGTACATACACTACAGGAACGCCGTGTCCATAGACGAAAATCAAGTTTCCCACCTTTAGCGGCGTCCGCTATTTAAATACGGTGATTCAGCAATCGTCCGCGGAAGAGAAGGAGCTCCGCAGCGATCGCGTCTAACGCACTTTAATACATTTGCATCTATACAATATTACAGTGTATTTACAGAGAGTATATGAATAATTCATACTTATGTACCACTACTGCCTTGCTATACTAACTCGTCAAGCATCAAATCGCGCTCATTAGACAAGCACGAGGTGTTCGTCTCACGCTTCTACGATCGGATACTTTAAGTAGTCGATCTCGTTTTGTACCTGGTCTTGCTTTCCCAGCCCAGAGAACCATTGAAGTCTGACGGTGCGGGAATGACGTCTTAACTAATTTGTCCGGGTTTTATCATCGAAACGGACGCGTTGTTGAATGGATGTTCCGAGCAGAGGACAACGCACGGACACGCGATACTGTCTCATACTATGAATAACTTTTGTGTACACGCGAGCGACAGACGTATGAGAAGAAAGTGAATGAATGTGGGTATATGTGTATCGAGATGTTCCCGTTTGGCGTACTCACGCTAAAGGGATAGTGCCAGTGTAGTGTAGAATATGGTACATAGCCGAGGACATCAAAGTCCTGGCGTATCCAATCGGACAGAGGCAAATTCAGTAGATAGCAAATGCAAAATAGAAATTGAGATAGAGATAGAGAAGTTTTACTTCATTTGAAGTGTTTTATATAAGAAAAAGCGCCTTTTTCAATTTCTTTTTGGCTGAAGCGGAAGAGGTGGAGCGCAAAGCGTCAGTCTGATTCGGGTGTACTGTTGTGAGTGATCTATTTACATATCCATGTATGTATCTGAAGAAGCATTCAAGCGACTCCGAGGCGCATATCAAAGGCATCGGTTATCCTCCGTGGTTCTCGAGAAGATGAAATCGAGGCTTCCGTTGAGACAACTCTGTTACCTCTTATGCCGAGACGGATTACGCACGCGACGTGTCCCTAGAAGAAGGATGCGTTCCTCTCGGCATGGTGCAATGAGAGAGAGGAAAGAGGAACAGCTGATTTGTAAGGATATAATTGCTTCAGCGCAATCTATCAGTTTGGTGATGTTTGTTGTGCTCATCGATGTTGTTCGCAGCAGCAAGTTTGCACCAGTAGCACCCGGACCTAGGCTCAGCAGGAAGGTGTCCTGGCCTTTCGCTTTCATCATCTTTGTTTCATAGATGAACTTCGTCGATCAACAGCGGAGTAAATCTGCATTTGGGGAAACCAGTTTGACTAGGACGCCATCTCGAAGAGTCAGAAGGAGAATGCGCAGAGGCAGTGATTTAGTTCTCCAGACCAGATCGAAAGATGATCGACGGGTCGGGATTGGCATGACGGATCAGAACCGTCCTGATCAGGCATTTACGTTCGGAGTCGCCGCGTTAGCCAGTCCACGGGCCCACCGACATTACTCCGACGCCCCTGGATATCACCAGGCTCAAAGGAACGCTGCTGCGAACTGAGGTATAAAAGCGGGTGAGACAAGATCACCACGTCATTCATATTGTGAACAGACAAAGAAACAACAGTTATCAAAGTCTCTGAAGTGAAAGATAGACAACAAGAAACACAGAAAGAAACGAAAGCTAGCCTCACGGGCTTACTGTACCCATCTGTATGGGTACAACCAGGCAGAGTGCGTTACCGGTGGAAATTGGAAACCTAACTATGTGGACGCGTTACAGTTGCTAATACAGACAACCAGACGGACGTTGCCGGAAGTTACTATACTACATTAGTATTAGTATATAAATTCAATCGTAACAATCCAATAAGCTTTTCAAATTTTCTAACACTTGTAGTATACAAAAGTAACAAAACTACACTTGAATTGTCTTATATAATATAATGCTCGCTTAAAACTATGTAACGCTCCTTAAGGGAAAGCAACTACTGCTATGCGTTACGCGTTACTGCTAGCAACCAAACCACCCCCGCGTTACACGTTACGGTTGTACCCATACAGATGGGTACAGTAGTTCCATTTTTTCGATCAGTAAATTTTGTTTATTTATTTTATTGAACTCTCCTTGTAACTGAGCCTTGCTTGTGGAGAGATCATATCAACTGGCGTTGTTACCGATTTCTGTTGTCAGTTCAGGCTCAAGTCTCTCGTCCCCGAGTCTTGGCTTGGAGACTGAAACAATCACTGAGGGTAGGCTTTTGTTGTTGGGTTTACGTGTCCCTTCCTTGAGTTCACCTGAACGCAGACAGGGGACGCGTTCTTCCGAATATCCCACCTAGATAATCGCGACGATGTCAAGCATCACGCTGGCTCCCGAGCACAACACATGACGGGAAAACAGGAGCTGCGCGGGCTTCCGTTGTGTGAGTCAGAGATGAGATGGCTGTGTGATACTGGATGGATATAACTTCGATACAGTTTCAGGCGTCGAGTGCCTGAAATGCACACGAACAGGGGGAAAGTAAAGGAGTATATTCACAGTGTTTCCACCATGCCGGGCAACACATGTACACGTATGCGTGCATGCTTACCCCTCTCTCTGTTGTCTGAATACATAAATGAACAAGACAAAAATACTGTGTAGTTCCGGACCACGCTTGCGGGCAGCTGTGACACCTTACAACCTTGTGATTGGGTCGTATGCATGACGGGTGGATACGGTCACTTGTCGGGACGTGCGTAAAACAGAGGTATTTGCGTCTCCTGGTCAGCTGGGAACTGGCAGCAGGCATGCGTCAGGTTCGCGTCACCCCGAGGTCAATGTGCGCCACTGCGGATTGTGTTCATCAAGTATCTTTGCGTAATGTACGACGACATGTTGCACTGAACAGAAAATATACAAGTCCCGGACTGTTAGCCTGTGAACTGGACAACATAACGAGGGCTGCTGGTTGATCTTGTTGAGTAAGAAGAACATGAGAATGGCAACGTGGCGACGGAATCGGATGGGCGACAGACAGAGCGGGGAACTTGAGAATGCAATCTAGATGTTTCTCGGTACAGGCGCTGATTGGCCAGTAGGCGCTCACCCTTGCTTATGCACGTGTTTTTCCTCGTTCCCCATGTCGGACGAAAATATCGAAATGGGAAAGAGCCTCAGATCTGATATTTGCACTGCAGATTGCAGCAAAATATACTGCTCGTGAATCAGGGCAGAGACTGGATGAGCATTGCCGCTTGGATTGCGTGTGCACTTTCACTCTGCGGGCAGTGCAACGGATGAAGGGAGGAGATAGGCGGACAGCGCGGTCTTTGCTAAAGGATGAATGGTAAAAGAATAACTGCTATGTGGCCTGATGGACGAAACCATGGCCTCGGGCTACGGTGGACCACGGGCCAGGGAGATGTCGAGGGGACGAGCAGGCACATGACTACGGCGGGCGGGAGGGACTTACCGATTCGAGTAGGAAGCCGGGAAAGCTGTCGGGACGCGGGCCGTGGGCCAGACCGCCTACATCTCTCCTGGTTTGCTGCTCGAATTCTCCCACTTCCTCTTTCTCCATACCTCCACCTCCGCGCCTCTCGAGTTCTCCTCGTCGTTGTTCGCCCCGACGCCCGCCAGCAGCGCGTATTAGCTTATAGCGCCGCTCCTTGTCGCACCGCGTCTACCCCGCGGCACTTGCTCTGACGCGCCACTTGTTCCGATCGACTCGCTTTGCTTAGTCCCACCCTGTATTGCGGGGAACCTCGAAACGGCCTAGCACAAAGTCCTTGTCTCGACCAAGTATTACTTCCCCTCCATCTCTTCTCCTCCTTGCTTGCTCTCCCCCAGTCCTTCGTGTATGTGAACGTCGGACCACCGCTCTTGTCAACGCCTCGTCTCTCCTCTGGCTTTCTATCTCCTCTCTGGGCTTTATCTTTGACTATTGCGACGCGTTGCAGCTATCTCGTTCTTGACCTTTGCTCCCCATGATGTTGCTGGATGTTACCGTAGCATGCGATCCTGCTGGTGCTGCAGACCGAGCAAACGCACTCGCGGCGTGTTCGCCTAGTAGTAACGGATCAAGCTCTCGCGGAAGCGGCAGTGCAGTTCGAATGAAGACTCGCAAGGGGGCAGCTGCACTGTCGCCTGCAAAGGCGCGGGTCAAAGAATTGCGACAAGTGAATGGCGCACCATCGATGCAGCGAACACATTCAAACAGCCGCATATATCGCTTACAAGCAGGCCCAGGTGGCTTGACCGGCGGTACTATACAACGCAGTAAGATGGGTGGCCGTACTGCTGCTGCTTCTGCACACCTTGGCACTCTACCCGGCAGTTTATATAGCAGACAATTTCCCGTTCGACAACCAGCAACCCAAACCATATCGCAACGACCAGCACCTGCGGCTGTGAGTAAACTTGCTCAGGAGGAGAAATCAACTACTTCTACATCGAATGGACTTCGTCCGGGATCCGCCCGACGAACGTCTTCCTCTTCGCGGAGGAGTTCAAAGAGTGGTAGCTCTAAGGGCGCGAAGGGCGCGAAGACAAACGGGCATCCCCTACCGTCCTCTTCTCTGAAGCAGAAGAAGGGTATTGACTTTGCAGATGATTCCGATTACTCTACTGATACGGAGTGGGACACTGAGGATGCTTCCGAAGAGGCGGATGGGACTAGCGGTGAAAATGAACAAGTAGCTACGGACCGCAAACTCGTCGAAGCAGCAGCTGAGGCTCAACGGCAACGAGACATGTTCGCAAAGGTAGACCGTCGCTCCTATTCTGACCTCTCTCGAGTTCGTACACAACCAGGGTTGCTTTCGGTAATATTCCATCCGGACCCTCAGCTTTTCCCTCCCGACCATCCTTATCGACATAGTCGATCGACGCAGGACATATTGGCCCATGTCAGCCGCCCCTCTTATCAGAGTGTTCCTTTACAGCCATCAAAGAGCGCCGTCGCTGTTCCTGTTGCTGCAACAGTAACAGCACAAGGTGTTGGATCGCCGGAACAAAGCAATACCCGTCAACGCTCCCCTCTCCGACTGAAAGGACGCCCGCAGGACGTTGAGGAGAGCGATTCAGGCGAGGATGATGAAGAGAACAAACTACACGTGTCCGAAAGCGTTGCCCAGAAGCGTCTTGCAATGCTTCACCGTCAGAACATGAAGGGACGACAGGCGCAGGATCCTTCCAAGCCAGCCCAGAAATGCACGGCACCTCAACAAGCACAACAGTCAAACGTGCTTCCAGCGGCCGGTCAACGTCCACTGACACGCCGTGATGCTCCCGGCATTGGCCCGTCTCCGCTCGTACGCGTTGCGACTGAGCCAATCCCACTTGGTTATCCGTATAACCTCCCTCCGCCTGTTCCACCTTCGACGCCTCGCACTATAAGGAGGAACATGCTTACTCATGAACTTTCGGAAAGTTTGAGGCGAAATTTACTTTGGGAGCGTCAGGTCAGCAAACAGCGTCCTATGGGTCTTGGCCGACGAATGGTCAGCAATTCTGCTGCACCCAGGCCCGGTCCCACGAATCGTTCGGCCGCTCCGAGCGTGAATGGGCATGCGAATAACATTGCTTCTCAGCCAAATGGCACAGCGGTTTCCGATCAGGTCGTGAAGGAGGATCGACATAAGGAGGTCTTTACCCGTAATCGAAGTTGGGCAGATAATTTCCATGTTTCTGGGTGGTAATAATCCGCAGTTGCATTTGTGCGTTAAGCACCTTTGTTTTTATCCATATTCTTTCTTTTTTTTTTTCCATTTGCTCTGACTCGCTCATCTGTGTTTTTAATTTTCATACCTCCTCTCTCATATCAGGGTTTGTGTTGTACATTGCTGGTTTTTTTTCCTTTCCGCTCCTCAACGAGGGAGGATATCGTACTACCCCGGACTTCTTGTTCCAGTATATTGTGTACTATTAGGCACAGATGTGCTCACCCATTTTTCCCGCCAGGATGCCCTTGAAATCCGACCTTCCCATTTCCTATGCACTTCTCGCTTCATTTTGAACCCACTCTTCGCTATCGATTAAACATCCATTACCTCTTTCCTTACGCATACCACTACGAAATCCAGGCATCATCGTCACCCATCATTACCCACCTTATTCACGCGCAGTACCTTTATTATTTCTACTTGAACCGTCATCTGGCCCTTCATGACGAAATTTGTTTTGCTGGCCCTTTCTCAGTCGTTCTTGACCTTGTTCCAGCGTCTTCGTATTCTTCCATCCTCCATGTATTATGGCACGTACTATATAATCATAGGCTGTACTTAGTGTTCCTTGCTTTCAAAACTTTTCCAATCTCCTGATGGTCCGACTTTTGTGACACTTCGATCCAGCCTCTTTCGTGCTTGAACTTTCGTACTCGAGTGTAAGGTAACTTCGTACGGGCGATCCGTCAAAGCACTACTTACTGCTAGTGCTAGTCAGGTTTGATGAGTAAAATGCCCCTAAGAAAGACCATGTGTCGTCGCATCAAAAAAATATTAAAGCCCTTGCACAGATTTTTGACTATTTCCTCAGGCGAGATTTAATTCCCGATGGAATATTTCTGTTCCGAGTGTCATGAGTGGCTTGTGCTATGTTCATCGTGTATCTTGTATCTCCCCACCTATATGTAGTTTGTAACTTGACCTGAATCCGGTCGGTTCATTGTTGTAACAACATTAATATTATGAACAGGGGCTTTGTTTGTCTTGGACAAGGAAATTAAAAGAAATGAAAGGATGTATTTCCCGTCGTTGTTTCATTACTTTGTAGGGTGGAGGGGTGACAGATGGCGGTGTAAGTGGTTATTGAGAATGTATTGGGGTTAATATTAGCGTAGCTTTACTCCTGACTATGTACAAGCGAAATTTGAATAGCTTGAACTCCTGACTGACGGTGAGGGGTCATATCCCGTTACGGAAGATTGTAGATCTTATTGAGTTTGTTCTTTCATGTGTGCTGCTACGCTGCGCTAAAACTTGAAGGCGCTGAATAAGTATTAATCTGGTGTGTGGGGAACGGAGCCAAATTCTTTGCACCTGCCTACCTGCCCACCTGTCACTCAGCCAAAGGAACTGTACGAAGGTGGAATAATTGATGTGCATGGATTTGGATGTTCGGGTTCGGAGAGAGATTCGCAACTTGCCCGGTCTCTCTGAGTCCGTGCGCGTCAGTTTACAAGCGAGACTCGGAACTTGGCGATGCTGTTGGGCGATGACCATGTACGGATCGTGAAGAATGTAATTTTTGTACGTATATATCTTTTTATCGCTGATATCACCGAACATCACTGAGCATCTATCCGAATCCAACTATCCGAATGAGGACCTTGTGAATGAGTGATCTGAATGAGTTCCGAAGGTAGTAGATGTGGAGACGGTGATATCGATCGTCTCTAACGTTCTTCGTCTCTCGGGATCTTGTGATTGTGAACGTTCGTTTCTCTTTATCTTTTCTTACACGTACTCTTATCACTGATAGATTATCTCTACGTATCTCGTGGAACTGTGAGGGTGCATCGTCCGATGACTTGCTATACAATTTATTCTTTCTTTTTACTAACTTCGAGGAACGGATGTCCCATTGATATCTATCTGGCTTCGGAAGTAATTGCAATAATTCTGTTGTTGCAGCTTCGAGTCCACCCGAGCCTGAGCCTGAGTTGTCAAGAAGAAGGAACAGAAAGACGCGGAGACAACACATGAGACCCCAATTGAATCATTCATTCATCATGTGTATCATGCGCATGTGCGTTCGACGTTCGTTGCGTAACTTGCGTTTCGTTGGCGTTTGGCACTTCGACTCTTTGGGGATGATCTTCGCTTTGATAACCTCTCAGGTTCCTAGTAATGCAGAGCACGCAATGTGATCACCATACATATAAATCATGGTCCATGGTGGAACACTTCGTATTTGTATTTATTTTATACCCATGCACAGCCCACCCTGCGATGCACAATTCAATTTCTCTTATCGTCATAAGATTAAGATTGAGTCGCGTCCGATGTTCTGATAATACTATACTACGACTACTAGAAGAGGAAGAGATCAGCTGAATTCAATATACTTACTTGATTTGGGTCGGTGGACGGATCCAGCTGTTGCTTTAATACCGGAGACTTTGTGATCTGCTGTTGACTAGGAATGGCGAACGAAACTCAACTTATTTGCAGCTTGAAATGTCAGTTGACGAAATACACAGAATCTGTACCGAAAAGTACTGATCCGCCTTCCCCTGAGACGATTTGCCAATGGAGCTGAGCACCATAGTACCGGTCAGGGTACACAAAATTGCATAGAGGCAGATCTGGGCAGCCAAGCGCATTGGTGCACTGAAGATGTGGGAAACGCGTCATCAAGACAAAGTACTAGCGTTTTATCGGAGCAGGTAAACGTCCTCCAATATTTGCTTACTTACTAACTTAGAAGTAGAAGCGAGTTAGATTCATGCGAAGAGAAGACTTTGATCATCACATTTACTTCAGGTATTCCAATGTTAATTTCTACAGTTTCGCCGAGTGGAGCTCAGGAGGTGGTGAAGATCGACAAGAAAATCTGGGAGCATCATAGGCCCGGCAGAAGGTGGGAAGAATATATCTGATCACTCTCAGGATGATACCTTCAAATCATTATGGTAGAGTGGCTCTCACTTCTACTTCGGACCGAGAACCAGAGCTGGTGGACAATCGAGGTTGGAATATACTTGTAAACATACATCGCTATGCCAAGAGGCACAACAAAGTTTGATTTAGAAGCTGTGGCTTAGTCTGCATGAACATTCTTCAGTGCAAGTCAAACAGGTACATCCGTTAATTCAGGAGTCGGATAAAATACACGGTCAAGATGAAGGATAGCTTCATTAGAATCGCCTAGAGCGAGCATCGGCTTGGAAGAATGCCTGGTCCATCGCACAGATAGTCAAAGAACATGAATCAGATCGGCATAGTCATTACAGCACTTCCGCGAACGCTAGAGTCAGAGAAGGATTACGGATGATGTTTAAGCACAGATTGAGACCTGTTAATAGTACATATATTCGCTTGCAGTGCGGCCTAGTGTTCATTGCCAGCCATCGATATTCAACCATTGGTTGGAGAAGGGTGAAGCGGGTATTTGCGAGCCATTTTAACCGGGAAGAAAAAAATGCATCCGCCAAGGTTAAACGTCTATCCATAGCCAATAGCAGTTCCACCCGAGTAGGAAATTTGCTTCGGAATTCGAAGAGCTATTATTGAATGAAAGAGAACGGAGTCGGAACGGAACGGAAGACGAAAAGAAACAAACGGGCAATTTGTTGTGGTAACTGTGTAATCACTGAGCCCCAATGGTTTGTGTTATGCATCATATTACTCACCACTTGCTACTTGTAGTTCGGGGAGAAACCCAATCTTAGAAAGCCCGGAGAGTCCAGAAAGAAGTTTTGAAGCAAGGAGACTGCCGGAGATAATCTGCAGACAATCCAATGGTAGACTCTTGTAATTTTGTCTATGGACTGAAACTGGTCCACCGGCTTGGTATATCTCCCGACGAAGCACACAGTCAAGCCAATAGCCAGAATACAGTGGCTCACAATCGGAGCAGTCGATCAGCCGGAAAGTGACGAAGCTCCTGTTTCCCTTTCATCAAAGAAGCAAGCAAGCGAAGGTTGCGTCCACGTATAAGCACATCCGAAGCAGACAGAGGCTGTATCTGTGGCTGGCAGGATCATGAGATACAGGGATAAAGAGAGCATTCATAATAAGTTAATAGCCGAAGACAACGGGACATGTGGGTGTCAAGGAGTGATATGGGGAAAGAGGGCGCACGTTTCTAACTGATGAGAAGCGGATAGATGACAAGTGTGTTGACAGAAGACGAGGCGAGTTGCTTTCGTATCTTGTTTGATCTGAATGGGGTTGGATGATAGGAGAAAGATAGGATACGACCGCAGATTTCGGAGCACACGTGCTATATTCGGTGATTAAGAGTGTAGAGATGCGTGCAGGTTCATCCTTGAACTTCTTCCGGTCAGAACTACACCGCATGGATACGCGACCGGAAGGAAAAGAGTCGAGTCAGGACAAGTCGTTATTTCTCACATCATCGCGCTCCTGAAGAACTTCAAGAAGCAGTGGCATTCTAGAGCGCAACTGGCGAGAGAAGTCGACTCGCAGGCTGAGCGGAAGAAATAAAGAGAAAAGAAATTTTCATTTCTTTTTTACGCCTCTTCGTCACATGACTTTTAGGCGCCAGGAATCACGTGAACGTATTCTTCCACGTCAGCTACACGTCGCAATGTCGCTGCGCAATCATCAATGCGCAATGATGATCATCTAGCACTGACTCGAATATTCAAGAGAATGAGAATTATATCAACTGCGCAACCCTTCATGAAGAGAATCCTCTTATCCTGAACCACAATGTCTCGAGTGGCTCTATCTAGCATCCGTTCACTTACTTTGTACAAAGACGAACCCACCAGAGCTCGCCGTCTTCCGCCTATCAATCAGCTTAAGTGTGTCGGCAAGGCGTGCAAACTATTCCAACCTGATGTCGTTCGCTGTTATAACAATGGTGGAAGCGGAACGGAGATCGATTGGACAGTATGTACTTCCTACATCCTTACATTGATTAAAGTTACTAATGACATCCTTAACTCAGTGTGAGGCAGACCTACCAGAGAAGCTGAGATTCGGAAGAGTCGACGTGTCATGCGAAGGATATGATCACCCTGGAGATCCATACGTACTCAAAGGTACATGCCAGCCGGATAAGTCTGTACTACTTCTCTTCTAACACTTTTTCTCTTAATAAGGATCATGTGGACTGGAATACCGCCTGGTGAATATCTCTGACAACTACACTGGCAGTAGCTGGTTCCAAAACATGACATGTAAGCATGTTCTTACCCAGATTCTGGAATGTATCTAATGCGAACCCCTCTGTACTGTTAGGGAGCGACATCCTAGAACGCATCTCTATCTATTCTATCGTCTTCCTCATAATCTACATCCTCTTCAAACCATACATCTTACGATTCCTAAACTGGCTCAAAAATCTCTTCAGCGACAGCGGAAACCATACATACCCGCCCTCATCTTCATCTAGGCCAAATTTCAGTGAGTTCCATTCCGGTGGACGCGGCGGACCTCCACCTCCACCTCCAGATTACCCACCTCCCCCACCTTACTCCGCTCAACCCAAACCATACTGGAGTTCCTGGTGGCCCAACTGGGGTTGGGGCTCATCGAACTCATGGTTCTCACCAACTTCACCAAATCCACCATCCGCATCTTCTTCCGGTCCAGGTTTCTGGAGCGGCCTGGGCCTAGGAAGCCTCAGCGGACTCGCCGCCGCACGTATGTTCGGTGGCGGAGAACGGGGACCATATTACGCAGACCAGGCTTATGCTCAACGCGAGTATGACTGGGAACGCGAACGTCGTTTCCGTGGAGGTGGATTATTTGGCTCATCCTCGTCCTCCTGGTTTTCTCCAGGTCGTTCTTTTTCTTCCCCGCGTACGCGTGTGGTCCGAACTCCGCCGAGTAATGATGATCGGGGTGAAGGACCTTCGAACCTTGGTTCTATTCGGAGGAGTAGGGGGTATGGTACGACTAATGTGCGGTGAATAGGAAGCGATCTTGGGTTACCTTGTTACACAATTCCTCGAGTGCAGCTATACTTTCTTTACAGATTATTTGATACGTGTTTATTTTGATTTCTACTCTGATTATGTATTTCGAAACGAAATTTGTGTTGTACACCAACATCTTACTGCAATAGCGAACATCTAGCAAAACAATGATTATATTATACAAAGAAGATATCCAAGCCGGCATCCAAAGGCATCAATAAATAAGGTCGGGGCGATGGGCAAACAAGTCAAACAAACAACAGAAGGGTACAGACACATCCTCTATACAACTTCTCAAGATCACAGTCTACAAGTAATTTCTTTCAATGTGGATGTGACGACGACTGTCCATTGTCGCTGCCACAATTCACGTTATTGAGATACGATCCCCAGTCGTCCATGCTAGAAGGAATCGTTCAATCGCGTTAGCATGCAAGAAACATAGAATGCAGCAATAAAGCATTAACAAGACACTACTCACTCGAAACTCGTAGGCGCCGAAGACCACATCTGCAACGCCTCGTTGACAGACGGCACCGAACCATCAATCTGACCATAAGCATCCGGAAGGCGTCCACTAGACGCACCACCACCCGCCTGCTGCGCCGTCGTACCCGCCATATTCGGTACATACCCCTGCTCCATCATCGGTACGTTAAACAACTGCGGATCGTTCTGGAACAAATCGAATATGTTCAAATTCGGCATCGCGTTCGGGGAGAACAAATTTTGCTGTTGGTGTTGCTGCGATCCACTAACGTCAGCCGAGGGCGTCCAGGGAAGACCCATGCTATTCGTAGCCGGTAAGCCTGCAACCAGCTCTAAGTTAGCGCTTGCAAGGTACGCGGTGTCGTAAGGCAGACCTCCGGCAGCCGCTGCTTGCGACGATCCAGCAGCCGGTGAAGGGGCATTACTATTATTATTGTTATTCCCGACACTTGCACTTGCTGCTGTCGTCGCAGGTACCGCGCCTAAATTACGGCGACCTGCGATTATCCGTGCTGCTCCATCTGGAGCATGAGTGAGACTTGGACTGGAGTGACTTGATGCGGGGCTGTCGGCCCCGCGTTCGCGTTTGTTGCTCGGAGGTGGAGTGGCCTTGTCAACGGGGATCTCACCCGCGCATGCGAGTTCGTTTAGGATGTCCCATAATCGACCGGCTGTGATGAGTCTGAACAAAGGGATGATGAGACATACACCAATTTATCCTCTCTTGGCTAGAAGTTAACTTACCGATCCTCAATGCTCTTCAACGCCTGCATGCACTTTCGCACATCCGACATCTGCTTCTCTGAATCAACAAACTGTCCAGACTTCTTCGCACCCCATATGTTAAGAAGCAACACGATGCCCGAAGTGAATGCAGCAATTTGCATCTGCGGGATTGGAAGTATCCCTCGGCGACGGCACATATCAGCAACGTGGCTACAGGAGCGCGCTGCGTTCGTGCAAATCGCCAGGGATGGGAAGGTAAGTGGTGACGGCTTGCGCGGGGAAGGAATGAACGGTCGGTGAATAAGAATTTGAATATGGTAGTACGTGGCGTAGAGTGTGGCAGACTGATTGAAATGAAGTTGGTTTTCTCGATGCGGATCCCAGCGTACTATAAACCAGTTAGATTGGTAGATTAACAGAAAGCAACGATGTGGAACATACGATGATCTGGAACGGTGTCTATCCATTTATTTAAAGCAGAATCTAGCTCTGCAACAATGTGTTGCTCCCATTGGGGTCCGACGAATCCCAACAAGATTTTTGATTTATTAATAGAATACTAATGGAAGTACGTTAGCAAGTTAATGTGCTAAAGGCGAAGGCAACTTACGATAGTACGCAATGCGAACGCCAAGATCTGGTTTAATTTAAGGAAGCTGTTGAAGAAAGATATACTACATGGAACGCCGGGAGGCTGCTGGAAGGCTTTTGCGGGATCAGGATGTTCCCAGTACTCGTCGTCGACTTCTAAAGGTAGATCCAAATCAAAGCTAGATGGAGACGGTCAAGATAGGACATGGGAAATTCGTTATTTGACGACACGTACTCTTCATCTTGAATCGCACACGGCCGCCCGAGCGCTGCGCTACCAAATCGATCCATCGCGACCAACACCCTTAAGAACACGCAATTTTAAGTCCGCAAAAAGCTTGGAACAAAAAGTATAATTTACCAGAATGCTCGCTTCCAAAGTTCAGACTCTACATTGAGTGGGGCATTGTATACTTTACGACGGTGTGCACCAACATCCTGCGCAAGGCGTATGCCAATACCTACCATCGTCCAGGAAGACTGTGGCGAGGATGAGCCTTGCAGGAATAGCGAAGAGAGCTACGAAACATAATTTCAGTCACAGATAAGCGTAGAATAATAGTTTCTGCTGACAGCATAAATCTGCAAGTCGTATAATCTCGGCGGACTCATGAACGACCTCCGATGTACTTGTATTTGATCGAACCACTTCCAGCCAGCCGAATGCGCAGACGCTCCGTCCAGTAGGCAGCGGGGATCATCTGACCAACGTGCACCAATCGCACATACGAGCATTACTACTGACCCGAATCCAATGTCGCTGTGGTGCCGACGATCCGATAGGGCCCGTTCAAATGAAGGGCGGTGAAGCACAGGTGTGAACGGATTCATGCATCGGAAGTAATTATCCACAAGTGCCGGCATAAGGTCATCTGGTGGATAATGATACTGCACTATTCGTTCTTCTGATATTACCTCCCACTTAATGAGTCATGATTAGAAATCGAGTGCGAAAAAGAACCAAAAAAATGCATGAATGTTTCAGTGAGAAATGAAGTAGGTCATACTATAGTATGAAAGATGACATACTGAATGTGGGGACCAGAAATCTGACCGACGAGTCGCGGGAATGCAATTCTTTGCGGGATCCAGACCATAGTGCTCTCGCTTGAGATCCATTGCCGCCTGAATGAGCATAACGCCACTGGACTTGCCGTGAAAACGACGGTCCAGCGGATCCATAGCGAGACGCTTGAGGCCCTCGGTGACTGTCAACGATCCGGGTTCATCATCGCTGGGAGCAAGGTCGTCCGGGTCCACGGATGGCGGGACGCTGTTACCGCCAGACAGGTGGCAAGTGGAAAGCCTGCGGGCAGGGGAGTTCTGCCGACTTGCACGCGATGGCATGATATCCAGAGAACGCTTATCATTTGGCCAGCTTTCCCGATCGATACGAACTCCCAACTCCTGAGTGAAGTCCGCGTCCGGACAAAGCTAAGAAACATTGAGCCACAGAAATTATGAGACATTATAATCGGTGCCTACCCTCTGCAGAAGCTTCTCCATATTCTCGAGTCTGTTCTCCAAACTTTCGACATATCTATAAAGGACTAAATACCCAACATGTATCTTCCTGCAAGCACACAAACGTACCCTTTCGGTGGCCCGCGTTTCTAAGATCCAATTAAATGAGTACGCACGTCAAAGCAGGCGGACTCACACGCACCTTAGCAGCCTCTATGTAAGTGCAATCGAGGTTATATGCGGAACAGTTCGAGCACCGATTATTCGGCATTTGGCCACCATCACCTATAATAAACCGTCTAGCACTAAAACGAATATACGAACGAGCGACACGTACATCGAACTGAAACCAGTGCAACATTAGAGAATGAACTGTGTGCAAATTAGCAACACAAGAAACGTACTCTTTTTCCTCCTGCAGGTATCACATGCACGCTGTATCCTCCGTTTCTTGTATTCCTGTCCGAGACCGTGCTCACTATCATGCATATCCTCTTCACCGGACGACATCGTTACTTCAGCGCCGAGCGTGAGACCAAGTCAAAAAATCGAGTTAAATACGAGTGATTTTGAGGTGGAGGGGGCGGAGATAGGGAGAAGCGGAGCAAGTAGACAGCGAGAGAGAAAACGGGAGTAGGAAGGGAAGGGCAGGAAATTAAATAAAGTATGAGACCGCAGCAAGGAGTCAAGGACCGTAGATGCCGCAGGCATACGAAGCCGTCGTTGCCGTCTATGTAATCAATCCCGTTGATCTTACCGGACTGACGGTAACCCTTTTTGGGAGGTCTCGCACAGCTTGCGATTGTCGGATTCTCGTCAAATTGAGATCCTGTGCTATGAAACCTTACTACGCTGCGGTGCGCGATGACAAGAGACGCTTGGAGTTATTTTCTTTATGTTTTATAAAGGGGAATGGTTGTTTCTAGTGGACAGGAACTCAGAATCCGGATTATGATTGGTAAATCCGAACGCGACGGATTTGGTTACGCGCCGCTCAGGAACAGCGATACTCCAAACTCATCCTCACTCTCCCGACGCGGACATTTCTCAGGCCCCACCGACGCACATTGTTATCAAACGCTCAAGCAGAGCTCCTTCCGTGTCATGCTTTTTTGTCTGCGTGTTTGAAGCTGCACAGCACTTGTGCAGGCGCGCACTATGCATCCGTGAGCACGCGCGACTATCGGCTCTTGTGGTCCTCTCTAGGGTGCATGCACATATATAGCAATACTATTTATTCCATCGTCAAGTCCTTTCGAAGCTGTTTCACATCGATAAGCGCGGTGGTACAGACGCAAAGAGTGGCCTTGTGACTCGAGGGAGGGTTCAGCTGGGGATGCCTGAGAAGGAATTCACTACGCCTGTTTGTTTCACATTACTATTGAAGCTAACTTCTCCATGCTCGATCAATTCAAACGGGCAACCGTCTAGACAACTATTAAACTATTCGTATCTTGGCAGCTGGACACATCAATCAAAGAACCTGGTCGCTAAACTCTGTGGCCGACGGTGTCCTTACCTATTCGCTGTTGAGTCGATATTATTGGCAGAGCGCGCTGTGCTTGATGCGCCGAGCCCTACCGCCACAATTTAAATCTCCCGTGTTCCGTCTCCTTCGGGGGAAGGAGAAAAGAAATGGAACCTCTCTGTCTTCTGTGACAATGAACTTTTGGATGTGAAGTATCATGACTCGAGTTATTGCTTCTAATGTGCCATGCACTTTACACTGGGACTCGAGCATGCAAACCAAGATACTAGCGACGACATACTTAAGTTCTAAAGCCCGCCGACACTCGTCTGCATCTCCGACCATGCCCGCCACGCTTCTATCATGACCCGCACAACACCCACTTCTCCTCAATGCTCTCGGTGAAACAAGAAACAACTAAATATCAAACCCGGCTCGGACTCTTATACTGTATCAAGCAGGTGGACCTCTACCCCGAGACGTTCACGTCCACCATCTGCAACATCAACACCAACATCAACAAAGAGTAAAGAGCACTTTTCGCCCCAGATTATCAGATTTTCTCCACACATTGAAAATCTCGGAATCTCAAAATGAAAATATATCAAAATGAAGAAAGTGGAATTTCCAATCCTTCCCTCCTCCATTCCCAGGCAGCAACCTATTTAGAAGGTGGTAAGATGACGTATGTATTTCACCATATGTAACTGTATCACTCCGTTGCATGTGCATATTAATGGAGGAAAGGCTAATTATTATTGGAAAAGTCGGAATTGCACGGGCAACGTTATACGCTACTCATAATCGCTAATAAACCTATAGTTGAACGTATATCTCCTAATGGTCGGTCGGTCAGTTCTTAACTCCGTCATGAAGCGAAAGCTCATTGGGCAAAGACCAGTAATCCTTGAGTCCTACTTGGTTCTCGTCCCTTGAATGAAATACACGAGTACGTTTACTGTAATAGTAGACAAGTATCTAGAGGTATAGTTATATTCGAATAAAGTGCTATCAATGTTTACTCAATTATTAATAGACCTCGGAACATCATGGACAACGTTATACATCATCACTCATACACTCATAATCCGGAATAACTAAAGTCAATACGGGAAGAAGTCGGTCAAGTCTTTACTCCGTCGCCAGTATCTATACAATCCACATATTTATGCATCATATCGATCTTCATATCTCATTTATAGTAATAGCAATATTAAAGCGGACAAAGCTGACTCTGAGGTCGTAGCGTACAGTACAATGAAGATTCCAGATGCGTTTCGAAGACAGAGAAGTGGTCAGGAGGACGACAAACTTTACATATGCTGCATGTTACGGTGTATACTGGATGAGATCCGTATACCCGCTGGCGGCCGCAGATTTCACATGGTCGAATGCTCCGTAGGACATTCAATGGTCGGCTCATCCAAATTAAAAACGACGAGTATTACTAGGCTTAAGTCCCATAGCCAGCTTTCATAACGGAAAAAAATATACATAATATACATGTTATTTCGGGCATCACACAAAATCATACAAATAACCGTACAAACACAATCATTATTCCATCGCCAACTTCATACCCATATATCCCATATCCATATCCAAATCCAATCATTCATTATCACCAAGCAAACTAAGCAAACCGAGCCTCCAAACCACTAAATCACCAACCTCCAATCACTGTCCCCTCGCCGGGTTCTTATACGTAACGTCCAACTTAACAAAGTTGTTATACAGCTCTCCCGACGCGAGGAGCGTATCGTTCCCTGATAGACTTGTCTCGGGGTGCAGCCATGCGGCAAGCGGCTATTCAAACCAAGTGTTATGAATATTAGCATTACAGTTTAGTTCGTGAAGAAAGAAGCGCCCGAAAAGCACGGCCTTCCTTAATATTGTATTATGATAGAATTATATATTATTATACGCACCTCGTGGAACTCGAGGAAGGCAGCAGCTATTTTGTTTTACGTTCATTCATATAGAGGCGTATTGATGGTTACCAAGAGACCACCAGCAAGCGAAGCAGCGCACACGACAACATAGGATACAGTAGGATACATAAATAAGTGATGATGATTTTGGGGAGAACTTTGACTGAACTGAACTGACCTCCTGGTTTGTACCCATCACCCTTCCCTAGCTGTCCACTCCCTCCGTGTATCCTCTTTCGTGAGCTGTCGGGAAGGATCAGGTTACCGGAGTAGAATTGGACGCCGGACTCTAATGATGAACGTTGACACCAGCACCAAACGTCAACGCTAATACCAAAACGAGGATAGGGTTGAAGAAAGGAAAAGGAAGGACATACGATTAGTGAAGAACGACAAGTTTAAACCAGACTTATCCGAAGAAAGCTCAACAACAGGAGGAGAAGAAGGAGAAGAAGGATCCGCTTGTCTCGGATGGATAACATCCTGTATCAAATCCATCTTTGGGAACTCGCTCAATGGGATACGTGTTGGGATTGGTGTAGGTGCGGATTTTTCGAATACGTAGAATTCATCTAAGCAAATTCGTTTATCAGTCCTGGAAGTGCGACGCTGATGGACGGATGGAGGGAGAGAGGAGGGAAAGAAATTGACTAATACCGTAACCGTCATTAGGCCATTGGTCACCGATACGTTTTGATTTGTGGTCTCGAGGTGTTCCTTGGACGGGGTTGAGCTTGCCTGTTGAGAGAAAGCTCGGGTCGAGCTCGACTGAGTGGCCGGACTACTCAAAATAATTCCGTCGGTATTAATTTAAGTTAGGAGTGAGGCAGAGGCTGACCTTGATGTGCAGATTATGATCCTTGACATTGTGAGTCGACTCGTCCCCTTGAAGACTTGCTTCGAGGTTGAATCCCCAATGCTATAATCGCACACGAATCAATATATTTGCATACTCGAAGTAAAGTAAGTTGCTATCCGAACCTGTGTAAGATTCACAGGCGTAACCTTCTTCTCCTCAATCAACTTCGCCCTATAAACGAACAAGATACTTCCAAGTGGATACTCCTGCTTCGCATTATCAATAGCGACTTGACTCGGGTTCACAAGTCCAATAAGGACTTCGTTAAGCAGCGTCCCGGGGAAGCCTTGGTCGCCATCTGGAGAGGTGTATCGGAAGATAACAGCAGCTGGGATCGAACCGATGGATACCTTCTCTTCATCGCTGAAAAGTGTGGAAGAGAATGGATCGATAGGTTCCCAATCGACGTCATCGAAACCTTTGGGACCTCCATGAAGTGAGACTTTTGGGTCCTTCTCTAAAAAAGAAGCGCAATGGCACCAGGTCAATTATTATTCACAGGCGTATTTCCAACAGAGTAAAGGAATAATGTACTAACGATTGCCTTGAGCAACGAACTGTGACTTGAACCCGCCACGCTCAATTTGATGTTCGCCTACTGGAACACGATTGGTATAACGACCGACGATGGTGTTGTGGTATTTGTGGAATTCGCTGAGGAAGTCTTCGGGTTTCTCTGGACCGATAAGGATATCGTGAGTCTGTTTTGGAGTGCCTTAGTCTTAGTATCGAGAGCGGATGCACTTTTGATAATAGTAATAGTGAGAATGATATACTGTACCTTCCCGTCAGCCTGCACAATGATCCTGTGGATTGTGAGTCCATGAGGCAAGATCTGCAGTTAGCCCGATCAGCGAATTCATTTGAGCAATGCACATGCTCGGAATGAGATTACTTCGATTGCCAAAGAGGGAGTTAAAGATGGTAGAGCAAGAACGAGAGGAGTAAATCCAGGAGATGTCATAATAATGTAGCTATTGACTCTTAGAAGAGCACAGATAGAGATGCGAGCAAGTCAAGAGTAAGGATGATAGGGGATTGAGGAGAGCTGCGGGACGCTATTTTGTTTGTAAGTCGGGATGCGGGTACCACTCAGATGACTCTCCGATGATTCGCCGGACAAGCCGGCTCGTTTGCCTGACTGGGAACGACTGGCCGGGTGCATATGGTGGACATATTGCGTGAGTGTGGGTGCGAATAAGGTTGAGTAAGACATCATCCGTCGTAGTTGTGCCATACTTACTCGTCGTGCAAAGTTCAAACGCGCCTGTTGATGCGTATGTATTTTTCAGACTTGTTCGCACGCTTTCCTTCACAAAACAAGACACCACGAAAGTGATCTGGAAATTTTTGCCATCTTCAATGTTTGCTCTGAATCCGATGCCGAGGCTGTCCCTTATTTCGTAGATTTCTGCCCACGTGGAACGGAGGTAAACGATGGACCAGGTGCTCACTGAACCGCGTGCCGCATCCGGCGCGCCTCCTCCGCTCGACTCCCGTCCATGCTCATAAATCAATAAATATCCTATTCACGGTCGTTAGAGTTGAACAACACCACCATGGCCGCGAATGCTCCTGTACCTGTGTATACATCTCTGGACCAAATCTTTCCGGACCGTGGCATTCTGCCAGCACAAGGGTGCGTCTGGCGAACTTCGGTGCATTGCTTTTGCAACCCAGACTTATCTACACAAATTATTTCCAAGAGCACGGTACAATGCCCTCGCTGAGGAGTTTGAAAGTCATTTCGGCAAGAGGCCGACGTACATTGTTAGGGCACCTGGACGCGTAAAGTGAGTTACTCAACAACTACCTGCTTTGCTATAGTTTTAGTGTTGATTTCATGCATACAGTCTGATAGGTATTTTACTCCCCAGATTTACGTGCTATGTAATTGAACACCCTCCTAGGCGATCATATCGACTACTGCCTATTCGGAGTCCTTCCAGCAGCCATCGAGAGCGACATCCTCATGGCCGTCGGTCCTCGAGACGTAGATGACGCAGGCCGAGTTACCGTACAAAATAAGGATAGCAAATATACAAGACAGACATTTGCGCCCGTGCGAGTTGCTGGAGGAGACTGGTCTTTGGATATCGACAAGACGCAGTTGAGGTGGGAGAGCTATGTTAAGGCGGGGTATTATGTGCGTTATGTCTCTTCGTTGATATCTATCAAGAACGGCTAATGCGAATGTGTCTAGGGTGTACTAGAGAAGTTCTTTAAGAACAACGATGAAGTTCCTCGACCGCTTGACTTATTGGTCACTGGTTCTGTGCCCTCTGGATCGGGGTTGTCTTCAAGTGCGGCGATGGTCGTTGCTTCTACGCTTAGCTTCCTAGCCATAAACGACAAGCTTGAAGGCCTCTCAAAGGGTGATGTCGTAGAAATGACAATAAAGAATGAGACGAGAGTAGGTACGTCGACCCAATGCGCATATTTCTAAATCCACGCTAACTTTCTTCAAGGTGTAAACAGTGGAGGGTACGTCTCTCACTAATCAAGCTCAAAACCAATATTAAAACAAAAACGAACGAACGAATTATGTATAGAATGGACCAATCCGCATCCGTAATCTCTTCCGCCGAAGCAGCCCTCTACATCTCCTTCCATCCCAAACTCTCCGCCGAACCAATCCCACTCCCAATAACTTCCCCACGCTCCGTCTTCGTCTGTGCAAACTCTCTCGTCGTCTCAGACAAAGTCGTCCACTCACGTACACGTTACAACCTCCGCGCTTTCGAGAGCCTCGTCGCCGCCCGCGTGCTCGCGCACCAACTCAACATTCCAATTGGTAAAACGGAGAAATTGACGTTGCGGGAGTTCTTGGATCGTTGGATGGGTATGAAAGAGGGTGAGGAGGTTGGTTTAGAGAAGTTGATGAAGGGACTCGAGAAGATTGAAGAGAAGTTAGGTGTTTTGAAGCTTGTGGAGAGTGATGGGAGTGATGGGACGGAGGTTGGTGTCAAGCTCCATGAGATGGTTAAGTTATCTGGGTTGAGTGGGGATGAGTTCCATGATGTTTATTTGTCTTGGGTAAATAGTGAGTACACATCCTTACTTCCCTCTTTTCTCTACATCATCGTTACCGTATTTCTCACTCTATTCAAATTATTAGTTGAAGCAGAGTATTTCCAACTCTACAAACGCGCTAAACACGTATTCTCCGAGTCCCTACGGGTCCTACAGTTCCGTGAAGTCTGTCTTCGCGCAAAAGATTCTTCCTCTTCCTCGTCTTCATCGGAAGAGACACTCCGCGAACTTGGACATCTCATGGACGAATCCCAGAGGAGTTGCTCAGAGCTATGCGACTCGTCCTGCCCTGAAGTGGATTTGTTATGTCGACTTGCGAAGGAGGCGGGGGCGTATGGGAGTCGGATTACTGGTCGGTTCAATTGCCTTTGCCTAATTTTTTCTTTTCATTGATCTCTCCACTTTTCTTGTACAGGCGCGGGATGGGGTGGATGCACGGTCTCCCTCGTTGACGAAGCGCGTGTCCCTGAGTTTGTTGAGAAACTCAAGAAGTCGTACCCTCCGTACCACGGCCTGAAAGGTGAAGAGCTCTCTGAGGTCATCTTTGCAACCAAACCCAGTAGCGGAGCGAGTGGTAAGTACGATAAATGTAGCCTACTTCGGTGCACGAGACAGTGTCTAATGCGATCCTCTCAGCTTATAAGCTCTGATTCATGGTATGATCGCAGTACTGATGACGCAATTCCCTGAAGAGTCTGTATTTATAATGACGATATATCCATTCAGAATTGGATCTCTGCCAAGCTTCACTCTAGAGGTTACTTCGTGATAACTAAAAGCGGGGCTAGTTGAGATTTTCTGGATGAACTAAAATACAGATGCACTCCAGCAAATTACACATAGCAATCAATAGGCTCTAAGTATATCCGGAACCGACTGGAGAGGGGGGTCGTCATGCTAAGCTCTAACGTAAAACATTGAAAAAAGCAAATTAAGGTTTTTATAATTAAGGATTGAGAGAAATTTAAAGCGAAAGCGTATCCTTCCACCGTTCTGCAACCGGCTCCCCACGGAACACTTCATGCAAGACTTCCCGGACATGTTCTACGTAGACAAAACGAATACCCGTCTTCACGCTCTCCGGAACGTTCTCTTCTATGTCCATCCTGTTAGCTTGTGGTGCGATGATAGTCTTGATACCTGCTCGGTGTGCCGCGAGGATCTTCTCCTTCAACCCACCGACCGGAAGAACCTGACCAACCAGAGAAATCTCACCCGTCATCGCTAAAGTTCATCATTAAAGACTCATAAGCATCCATTTCCGATAGTAACAGAGAACTTGAGAGCACCCACCAATATCAGGGTGCACCTTCGTCTTCGTAAACAACGAAACAAAAGCCGTCAAAAGCGCCGTACCCGCACTCGGACCTTCCTTCCCGATACTTCCCTCCGGCATATGTACATGCACGTCGATGTCGGTCATGAACTGGTCGTTCGGCGCGCCTGTGATGCCTAGCTCGTATGCGTGACTCTTCACCCAGCTTAAAGCGATTTGCGCGCTTTCCCTGATTACCTCACCGAGTTTACCAGTAAGCTGAAGACCGCCTTTTCCAGGCATGCTCTGTAATGGCAAAGATCATGAGTAACGGCAAAGTCAGAGGAGTGAGTATTGAAGGACTAACTGTCGCTTCTATGGGCATCAAAGCACCTGATCCGTTTCCAAGGTAGCCAAGACCAGAGCTTACACCCGGAGGGGGCGTAAAACCATACATCCTGTCCTTGTAATAAATAGGCGGTCCGACGTAGTCTTTCAAGTTCTCCGGAGAAATACGAATGTGGACGCTATCGGGGACCTTGAGCGGCTTGCGTTCTTCCGTTGTGACGGTCTTCTTTTCTTCGGAGGTACCGTCCTTGCTAGCCTCCTTTGACGTTGAATCAGGCGAAGGAGCGTTGCGGGCGGGTTCTTGAGATTCTACTGTCCTCTCACTCTCCTCAGGAGTAGACGCAGTGGCAGAGGCGGCAGCGTCGGGTTTACTAGCATCTGGTTCGGGGAACACGTCCTCTCCAAGATCCTTGACGATGTTAAGAGCGGTCTTTCTATAGATCTGGTACAAAATAAACATTAATAAACATGTGTAAGATATTGACAAGCAAACATGACATACTTTGTCAATATGCTTCTTGAGGTTACGAACACCACTCTCTCGGCAGTATTGTTTGATAAGCACATCGACAGCACTTGGTTCGAGGACTACGTCCGCATCCTTGAGGCCTGATCCTTCCTTAGCTTGAGGTCCAAGGTACTTGTCTGCAATGACAGCTTTCTCTTCCGTCACATAGCCGCTCACTTCCATTACCTCCATCCGGTCCAGGAGGGGGGCAGGGATGGTGTCTATCATATTCGCTGTGCATACGAAGAGAACGTGGGAAAGGTCTACCGGGACGTCCATGCTGGTCAAGCAACAAAGATGAGAATATTTCATGGAAGGAAGGAAAGGAAAACATACTAGTGGTCTAAGAAAGCGGAATTCTGTTCTGGATCTAGCATCTCGAGAAGAGCGCTCGCTGGATCACCATTATAGCCCTTCCCAATCTTATCAACCTCGTCGATGAGCACCAGTGGGTTCTCAGTGCCGACACGTTTCAGCGCCTGTATGATCTTGCTGGGTAGAGCACCAACGTAAGTTCTACGGTGCCCCTTGATCTCAGCGATATCCGTGAGACCTCCAACAGAAAAACGGAAGAACTGGCGATTCAGGGCACGAGCAATGGATTTTCCAATGGACGTTTTCCCGACACCTGGAGGACCTACGAAGCAAAGAATCTTGCCTTCTACAGTTCCACGGAGCTTGCCAACAGCAAGGAACTCGAGGATCCGATCCTTAACATCCTTTAATCCGTAATGGTCTTCATCGAGAACTTTAACTGCATGGGCTATCGAGAAATTCTCAGGAGAGTGGACGCCCCATGGAATCTAGTAATTGATTAGAAACGAAATTTAACGAAGATCAAGAGAGAATACACAAACCTGAGTGAGCCAGTCAAGATAATTACGAGTGACGTTGGCCTCTGACGCAGCAGGCTCAAGATGCATGAGCTTATTTAGCTCCTCGTCGAAGACCTTCCGAACACCCTCCGGCATTTTCAACGAATTTGCACGCTCCTTGAACTTCTCGATGAGTTTATCCTTGCCGTCAGACTCCATGCCGAGCTCCTTCTTAATCCCTTTAAGCTGTTCCATAAGATAGTACTCGCGTTGTCTCTTGGCAATCTTGCTATCAACGTCCCGAGAAAGCTTGCTCTGTAGCTGCGCGTTGATGAGCTCCTTCTTCAGTACGAGCAAAGCCTTCCGAAGACGGTCCTCAACCGAAAGCGCTTCCAGTACATCCTGTAACTCTTGAACTTCACCGGTCGAGACTGCAGCAGCAAAATCTGCAAGCTTGTCGGGCTCGTCGAAGACGTTCGTAGCGACCTGGTTAATAGAAAAGTTCGTAATCTGATCGCGGAACAGAGGATTCAACTGCGCGATATCCTTGAAGACGGAGACTATTTCGGACATGAAGGCTCGAATGTATTGATCATCCTTGTTATACGGTTGCGTCTGTAGGTTCTCAACGTTAACAAGTGAGATATCGAAGTTCTGGAGGAAGGCCGTTTGAAGAGGGGCTACACAAGAATGTTAGAAACAATATGCAACTGATAAGTTATAGTGCGTACGGTGAACCTGACGAGCGACCTCAGTACTGGTCTCCTGACCTTCCTCCATAGGCGGCGGGGTCGGTGGTGGTGTCGGTATTCCATCCACGCCCTCTGTGACATTCTCAACAGAAGCAACAGAAGTAGTCGAAACGCCCGAAGTAGGCTTCACGAGATTGGTAAGCCTGATCCTCCGATGAGGATAAAGCACAGCCGTGAGTCCTTCTTCCTTATCATCCTTACTCTGCGCAGCAAACACACTCGTGATCTGCGCAAACACACCCACATGATGTACCGAGTTGATATCCGTAATGACGTCGCTATCCGTGTTTTCGTCCTTTAGCAAAAATGCGCCGAGGTATGGCTGGCCGCGTTTCATCATCTCCTTTATTGCTGCAACGACTCCAGGATTCCTGACAACGACAGCTTTGTAGAAACCAGGGAAAAGGGGTCTTCGTGCAATTGGGAGGGCTAGTACCTGTGGATAGCTTTCCGGAACGGATTGTTTGGAAATCGAGGTTGGAGAGCCTGAAGATGATCCTGGAGGGCTTTGTGCTGGTTGTCCGGATGGTGAATCAGAACCACTAGCACTTGATCCATCCTCGCTTCCAGGAGACTGTGCAGAAGATGAAGGCGATGACATATCCCGCTTTCCGCCGTCCTCGCTAGATTTTAACTTCGCAGTGGACTGCTCCTCTCCTCCATCCTTTTCCTCTGACGGTTCAGCACCATCATTCTCAACAGAGGATTCTGTGTTCTCCTCTTCCTCTTCCCCGTTCTTTCGCGTATTAATCCATCGCGGATGTCGTAAACACGCAGTTGGATTCGGATAACCAACAATTGATGAGCTATAGAAAGAGCGAAGTCGCACAGATACGGATTTTCTTCGCACACTGGAGTGAAGATAACTGGGCGAATTAGTCCACAGCGTCGATGGACCTGGGTCACGTAGCACACGACATGCTTGGTAAGGTCTTCGAGTCGCCGACAGTAATGAAGCAGTAAAGCTCATTGCAGTATGAAGAGATCATCCACAAAGGCAAGTCTCCCCTCGAAGCACCCAATGTGCCCTTTCACAGTCCCTCAAGGGTGAGGAGAGAGGAAGAGATAAAGTGGAGACGGCAAAGACGCGTATTCAGCACGCAACTCGAAGGCGCGAGAAATTAGCAAAATGTGACACGTGACCCTCCTATCTAATCAGATTGTATAGATCAACAGCCTCAACAAAAAAAAACAGAAGGAAACTACACCAAAGCTAAGTTGAGATAACACTTTGGGTGAGTCTGTACTATGCTCAGAACGAAAAATAATAATAAAAGATAAAAAATAATCTCCTCCAGATGGCTAGATAGCGTTTGTATACGAAGTCAGCAAGGCCAAGCACGAGAGCAAATCTATTTTTCACTCTCCGCTCATTACGCTCTAGCATAGGTAGCATTGCACACCTGCACTCTCGAAGACACTTACACCATCACTTAATTGTCAGCTGCAGAAATAACTCTACGTGTTGCATATTAATATTGATGGGCTTGCTCATGAGGGACAGCCGGGAAAGTCCGATCAACATGTCACTGCCCTATTGCGGTGCAAGCCTAGTATCCGTTCCACTGAACTTCCACAGCTTCCCTTCGTACCTCCACCATCCCACCAATGGCCCTCCTGGGGTCAGGCAACGTAGCTGAGTGAGTTGTCGCTGGTCTCAATCGTAGCGTCATTGTTTTATCTTAATATTCACGGTATAGATTCCTTCATCTCGAGGGTATGTAGACCGAATACTTTAGGGGCACGTCTCTGACTTGTATGTAGCTATCGATGTCGAACTTGATAGCACACGGGAATATTCAAAGCTAAATATTGAGATCAAGTTTGAATCACCGATTCTATATCAGTCAGACGTCGTTACGAACTCGTTGTCGATTCACTGGGACTGTGATATGTAAATATTCATGGATTATATATTCCCATATATATTGACTGATTCGCTCAGATACGTGAAATCTGGAAGCAAAGCTGTCCTCTTAATTCAGGAAAAACAATTATTTCGCCTTCGACGCACTGTTGACAAAGTCGATCTGGACTTCAGTTCCCGAGTTTTTGAGCCGGGGCAGACAATCGTACAAAAAGGTAATGGTGTGCATGTTTTAGTGTTTGCAGAAAAATAACTACTTATTCAGGCAAGAAAGCTTCTGCCTCCATCAAGCTATTGATTGGATTTCCTAAATCGGTACGTTGGCTCCGACTCTTGAGTGCATGTACACTAATGTATTATATCAGGGTCAGGACGTTGCAAGCTTGCTAGCTCCTAAAGCCATTACTGCTCTCGGGATGCAAGTTGCTATGCTTGATAAACTTGATAGGTTGTCCAACATATGTAACCTTGTCCTGCAACTCGGCATTGGTGCATCTGAGGTGAGCAAATGAAACTATTTTTTACCTTGATTTTGAATGCCTATACATAAAAGGTGAGCCCCATTGCAAAAGCTGCTACTGCAATAGTCAGTACAGTTTTCAAGGTATGATCTTTCTGTAATATGTCTAGCTGTCATTGACGACTGTACTCAGAGATTTCAAGACATTGCCACAGTTCACACTGAGTTTGTAAAAATCATGGAAGATGTGATGGAGCTATTGCCTCTAATGAAACTTGCTGTTGAACGTATAACGGACACGGAGGTCCAAGATATTGCTCAGAAGTTCTTTGAGTTTGTTATTGAACTGGGGAAAGGTCTGAGAGATTATGCATCTAAGCCAACATCAAGTAAGGAGGAATTTCTCTTTGTTTGCCTTATGTTGACTTTTGCACAGAGTTTCTCCTTCAGAACTGGTATAAACCCAGGAAAGATGAAGTTCAGCAGGTTAAGTGTAGGTTAGAGAACAAGACTCGAAACTTGGGTCTTGGATTGCAGATCAATACTCTAGACATAACAACGGCGATTCGTGAGTATCAGTGCTTTCCGCTGAGCATGATCCTCGCTTATACAACACACAGGCAAACATCAGGTTACTGAAGAGGAAGAGAAGGGACTTGAACGATTACTCCCACCCGAGAATAGTGCCTACGATCCATCTTGTGGTTGTCTACATGGTACAAGAGAAAATGTTTTGCGGAATGTCGAGCAATGGGTGCACTCGAGAAATCATTGTCAGCAAATTTATTGGATACATGGTGTCGCAGGATGTGGGAAAAGTTCTGTGGCCACCTCTGTAGCAGATGCACTAGAAAGGGAGGAGGTTCTGTCTGGGTCATTCTTCTGCAAACGAGATATTCCTGAACGAAGGAGCGCCAAACGACTAATCCACTCGTTGATGTATTTCCTCGCGCGAAGAGTACCGACGTTCCGGAATTCCCTTCTTCGACGATATCAAGACGACAGGACCGTCTTGGATAAGCCGCTTTCGTATCAGTTCAACACACTCCTTGTCAGTTCACTCGCAGGACTTCCTCAAGAGATGGAGTTGGGACTATCGGTCGTTATTGTTATTGATGCGTTGGACGAATGCGTCGATGGCGAGATCGTAGCCTCGTATTTGGGAGACATTGTCAAAGCCACACCTTGGCTCAGATTTATCGTTACTAGTCGACCAAACCCACGAATCAGAGAAAACATACTCCGAGCCGAGCGTTGCGTGAAGGAATGCGACTTGTTTGGGGAGACGACCGACGAGGATGTCCTTCGCTTCGTGCAGAACCAGTTTGCCACGGATCCTGGTCTTCGCATGGTTGAATTAGCGGAGATCGATGTTCAGGTCCTTGTACAAAGGGCTGCAAGGCATTTTATTTGGATTTCCACCATTCTGAAGCATGTTGGCACGCAACCGCTCGAAAGAAGGAAGATATTGCGGCAAATAATCGAGACAGACCCTCGTGGATCTTCTTCCGAAAAAAACCTCGACGCCATATACTTACGAGTACTTGAAGACGCCTCTGAAGGTACCGATGGTCAAGCGGTCCGACTTCTTGTCGGTCTCATCTTCGTGATTTCAAAAAATAGGCCGCTCCCCTCAACGGCCATACATGCGTTCTTTCCTTTCGATGTTGAGCAAGCCGAACTGGACGCGTTTGTGAGTCATCTAGCCTCTGTGCTCTACAAAGAACCCAAGACAAGCGTCATTCGTGCCTGCCATCCGTCATTCCTCGACTTCGTGGAGCGTGAGGATAGATCCGGACCCTCCTGGACTGTGGCGAAGGGCTTGGAAAAGCAGATGGTGGAGAAGTGCTTTTATATCATGTTGGATACGCCGGATGGGCTCAAATTCAACCAATGCAATTTAGAGACCTCACATCTTCCAAATAGCAACGTGATGAACCTCAGCGAGCGCGTAAATCGTAATATCACTCAACACCTTCAGTATAGTTGTCTGTACTGGTTCAACCATTTGTCCCGTTCGCAAAAGTATGGGATACGTGAGGGACAACTAGAATTGTCGCAAAGGCTGAAAAGTTTTCTATGTGGCACTCGGTTCCTGTACTGGTTAGAGGCACTAAGCATGATGTCGGAAGTTGGGACGGCAGTTATTTCTCTTGAAGAGCTCACAAACTTCTTAAAGGTGCGCAAGTTCATCCAACGTACCATTCCATCACAGTTCACAATTTAAACAGCGCTTCAATGCTGATGAGGAACTGATCGCAACTGCGTCGGACCTATACCGGTTCGTGACAGCATTCCAGGAGCCAATCGCGGCCAGCGCACCGCACATCTATCTTTCGGCATTGCTATGGGCGCCGGTCAAGTCGAAAGTTGCAAGCCTTTATTGTAATAATTTTAACATCCGACGGTGCATATTGAAAGGAGTCAATGAATACTGGAACTCGCATACGCACGTAATTTCTGCACGTTCTGCCGTCAACGCCGTGGCCCTTTCCCCAGATGGACATCATATTGTCTCTGCGTCTGATGACAAGACGATTCGCATTTGGGATGCTCAGACAGGTGCACAGATGGGCACACTACTCGAAGGCCATCAAGGTGCGGTCTGGTCTGTTGCTCATTCGCCAGACGGACGTTGTATTGTCTCCGGGTCTGATGACAAGACGGTTCGCATTTGGGATGCTCTGACGGGTGCTCAGGTGGGCACACCACTTGAAGGTCATCAAGGCGGGGTCGAGTCTGTCGCTTATTCGCCAGACGGACGTTGTATTGTCTCTGGGTCTGATGATAAGACAGTGCGGATTTGGGATGCTCAGACAGGTGCACAGATGGGCACACCACTCGAAGGTCACCAAGACATGGTCGCGTCTGTTGCTTATTCGCCAGACGGTTGTCATATTGTCTCTGGGTCTTATGACAAGACGATTCGCATTTGGGATGCTCAGACAGGTGCACAGATGGGTGCACCACTCAAAGGTCATCAAGGCGCCGTCTGGTCTGTTGCTTACTCGCCAGACGGACGTCATATTGTCTCTGGGTCTTTGGACGACACAATGCGCATTTGGGACGCTCAGACAGGTGCACAGGTGGGCACATCACTCGAAAGTCATCAAGATTGGGTCAGGTCTGTTGCTTATTCGCCGGACGGACGTCATATTGCCTCTGGGTCTGAGGACAAGACGATTCGCATTTGGGATGCTCAGACAGGTGCACAGATGGGCACACCACTCGAAGGTCATCAAGGTGCGGTCTGGTCTGTTGCTTATTCGCCAGACGGACGTCATATTGTCTCTGGATCGGGTGACAAGACAATTCACGTTTGGGATGCTCAGACAGGTGTACAGATGTGCCCACCACTCAAAGGTCATCAAGATTGGTTCAGGTCTGTTGCATATTCTCCAGACGGATGTTATATTGTCTCCGGGTCTGACAACAAGACAGTGTGCATTTGGGATGCTCAGACGGGTGCACAGGTGGGCCCACCACTCGAAGGTCATCAGGGCATTGTCTGGTCTGTTGCTTATTCGCCAGACGGACGTCATATTGTCTCTGGGTCTTCTGACAAGACAGTGCGGATTTGGGATGCTCAGACAGGTGCACAGATGGGCCCACCACTCGAAGGTCATCAAGACTTGGTCCGGTCTGTTGCTTATTCGCCAGACGGGCGTCATATTGTCTCTGGGTCTTATGACAAGACGATTCGCATTTGGGATACTCAGACAGGTGCACAGGTGGGCACACCACTTGAAGGTCATCAAGGTGCGGTCTGGCCTGTTGCTTATTCTCCAGACGGACGTCGTATTGTCTCCGGGTCTGATGACAAGACAGTGCGGATTTGGGATGCTCAGACAGGTGCACAGGTGAGCAAACCACTCGAAGGTCATCAAGGCTGGGTCCGGTCTGTTGCTTATTCGCCAGACGGACGTCATATTGTCTCTGGGTCCGATGACAAGACAATTCGCATTTGGGATACTCAGACAACTGCACAGGTGGGCGCACCACTCAAAGGTCATCAAGACTGGGTCCAGTCTGTCGCTTATTCGCCGGACGGACGTTATATTGTCTCTGGGTCTGATGACAAGACGATTCGAATTTGGGATGCTCAGACAGGTGCACAGTTGGGCACATCACTCGAAGGTCATCAAAGCTGGGTTGAGTCTGTTGCTTATTCGCCAGACGGACGTCATATTGTCTCTGGGTCTAATGACAAGACAGTGCGCATTTGGGATGCTCAGACGGGTGCACGGGTGGGCGCACGGGGCGAGGGTCACAATTATCTGCCAACAGTCCCGGAGGATGGATGGAGTCGGACTTCGACAGGTGGTCTTATACTATGGATTCCTCACGAGTATCGAAGGGGTGTATGCGACATGAGTGTAGATTGCTTTCCGAGAAATGATCCTGATCATCCTGTAAAGATTGACTGGCAGAACTTGTGTCACGGAGATACGTGGACGAACGTAAAGATAAATCGCAAGGATTAGTTCTGCGTAGTTAGGACTTGCACAGATTTTTTTTTGTAGCTGGACAGGTGTACTCTCATTTTCATGTAATGACTTGAAATTGTAATGGATGACTGTATCAGTGCTCATTCTACTTGCTATCTTCACTAGTGTAGACAAGTTCTATGTCTGTACCAATATTGAGAGGACACAATGTATGCTGTGTATGACTTGTATCACTTTGCGGCCCACGCCTAAATAATCAGAGTGAATAGGTCAAGTGCTGAACGCGGTTGTGAAATTGAGTTGATGACATTTAGGCGAGTCTGTAGTATACTCAGAACAAAACAATGAGTGCTAGATGACTAGATAAACAGAGATTGAGTAAGTGTATGTTGTACAAGTCTGCAGGAAGCATCGGTGTCCATGAATGATTCAATGAATGATGAATAAGAGAAGACCAAATGAAGAGGGAAAAAAACAGAAAGAAAGAAATCACTGAGGAAGAATAGGTGAGTCATCAGCTCATCGGTCTGGAGATGACGCGATCAGGAGCTCGTCCGGTTCAGGTGAGGCTACGAAGCGCGGCCCGAGGTCTACTTCCGGAACGTACAGTTTGCTGTCATCGTCGAGGAGTTCCTCCTCATCTCCTTCGTCTCCTTCCTCCCTTTCCTCACCGACGTCCTCGTCGAATATGAAGTGCATCTATAAGGTTTGATTCAGTCAAAGTAGCTTGAAAGAGGGACGCCGGAACGTACATGCGTGATCAACGCCTTGAAGAGTACGGTCAGCGGACCCATGTTCTTCATGATCAACCCGAAGTTTTACGCATTGATGATTGCGCAGCGACATTGCGACGTGTTGTCTCTGGGTCTTCTGACAAGACAGTGTGCATTTGGGATGCTCAGACAGGTCACAGGTGCACAGGTGGGCACACCACTGAAAGGTCATCAAGGCTCGATTGAGTCTATTGCTTATTCGCCAGACGGACGTTATATTGTCTCTGGGTCTTATGACAAGACAGTGCGCATTTGGGATGCTCAGACAGGTGTACAGGTGGGCACACCACTCGAAGGTCATCAAGGCTATGTCCGGTGTGTTGCTTATTCGCCAGACGGACGTTGTATTGTCTCTGGGTCTGATGACAAGACGATTCGCATTTGGGATGCTCAGACAGGTGCTCAGGTGGGCCCACCACTCGAAGGTCATCAAAACTGGGTCGGGTCTGTTGCTTATTCGCCAGACGGACGTCATATTGTCTCTGGGTCGTATGACGAGACGATTCGCATTTGGGATGCTCAGACAGGTGCTCAGGTGGGCACACCACTCGAAGGTCATCAAGGCTGGGTCTGGTCTGTTGCTTATTCGCCAGACGGACGTCATATTGTCTCTGGGTCTTATGACAAGACAGTGCGCATTTGGGATGCTCAGACAGGTGCACAGGTGGGCCCACCACTTGAAGGTCATCAAGGCTGGGTCTGGTTTGTTGCTTATTCGCCAGACGGACGTCATATTGCCTCTGGGTCTTACGACAAGACGATTCACATCTGGGATGCTCAGACAGGTGCTCAGGTGGGCACGCCACTCGAAGGTCATCAAGGCCCTGTCTTGTCTGTTGCTTATTCACCAGACGGACGCCATATTGTCTCTGGGTCGAATGACAAGACGGTGCGCATTTGGGATGCTCAGGTGGGTGTACACGAAGGTACACAGGACAGAGGTCACAATTATCTGTCAAGGGTCCCGGAGGATGGATGGGTTCGGACTTCGACAGGTGGCCTTATACTATGGATTCCTCACGAGTATCGAAGGGGTGTATGCGACATGAGTTTGGATTGCTTTCCGAGAAATGATCCTGATCATCCTGTAAGGATTGACTGGCAGAACTTGTGTCACGGAGATACATGGGCGAACGTCAAGATAAACCACGAGGATTAGATCTGCAAGTTAGGACTTATCTTGCAAACTTTTCGGTAACTGGAAGAGTGTACTCTCAATTTCATTTAATGTCTTGAAAAAAGTAATGGACGATTGTATGAGTGGCTTATTGCACTTACTAACTTAGTGTAGACACGCTCTGCATCTGCACCATCATTGGAAAGATACTTTGTACGTTTTATAATTTGTATCACTTTGTGACACACGCATATAGAGTCGGATTATGTAGATCAAGCAGTGAATGCCGTTGCAAAAATTGAGTTGAGATGTCATTTGAAGTGAGCCTGTAGTATACTCAGAACAAATAATGAGTGCTTGATGACTAGATAAACAGAGATTGAGTGAGTGTATGTCGTACAAGCCCGCAGGCGGCATCGATGTCCATGAGTGAATGAACGATGAAAGAGAGAAGACCAAATGAAAGGGGGAAAAGAATAGAATAAATGAAATCACTGAGGAACGAGGGGTCATCGGTCTGGAGATGACGCGATCAAGAGCTCGTCTGGTTCGGGTGACGCTACGAAGCGCGGCCCAAAGTCCACTTCCGGGACATATAACTTGCTGTCATCGTCGAGGAGCTCCTCCTCTTCGTCACCCTCTTCTCCTTCCTCCCCTTCTTCGCCGACGTCCTCGTCAAATATGACATGTATCTATGGGAGTCGAATTCAGCAAAAATGGCTCAAGACAGAGGTGCCAGAACTTACGTGCGTAATCAACGCCTTGAAGAGCACAGTTAGCGGACCCATATTCTTCATGATCAACCCGAAGTTATTGTTCGGAGCGCGAAGTAAATTCGGGCAAATGACGACCGCAAGGTTATCAGGTGTCATGTGATTTTGTTCCTCGTAATCCACGACACTAGAGACACACGTTTAACAGGGTACAGTGAAGATTGTCCTAGGAGGGACGTACCGGTCCATGTGTTCCGCTAACCGCTTCAAGACAGAAAAGTGTGCTCGAGGGAATAGATGGACGACTTCCCGAATTTTCGCAAGCCGCTCGTCGAGATCAGGTAGTCCTTCATGATATGTTAGACACTTGAAAAAGAAGCAAAGTAAACTCGCGCAAACTTACGCGCAGCCTCCACGATCGGCTCAAAGAATAACTCCGGGATAACTGTTTCCGGAAGTACTCTGAACCAGTATTTGACTACGCCACACACGGCATTGATATCCGTGTACCGATCGATGTGCGTTTGCCCTAGGTTTACCGATGAGTATCCAGAATGATTGTATTGATTTTAACGAAAGTACCATTGTTCAAAGCCTCGCGCAATGCCGAGACCTCCGTTGTAGCACCAGCAACTCGGTAGATTCCTTGCTCAGTTAGTCCCCTGTCTTCAATCTCCTTCAGGCAGAGTTCCAGAACTCTCGGCACGGCATCTAGAGGAACTTCGCCGCCTGACTCGCGACGCACGAGGAACGTGAGGTCAACACCAAACACTGTCAAGAAAATATTTTCTTAGCTCAGGGAAACGTAGTTAAAACTGTACACCTCACCTGCTTTCGGATCTTGTGACGCAGTGATAGGCCGAGGTTGAACATGATCAGCAACTTGCAAGGGACTCGAAGTAGCGATATACGTCAACCGACGTTGCGCATGACTTTTAATCGCCGTGCCAATCGTCTGCATCCACGCATTCATATCACTCTTCGACAATCCCTGCAACAAATAATGCCCTCCATCCTCTGTATCAATCTGGAACGTAAAACTTCTCTCGTTGTTGATAAACGCAGAAACATGGGCGTCGACTAGGCTGAGCGCAAGAGCTGGCTTTTGCGTGGGCATGAAGTCAAGCTCAGCAGCACTGCGCTTCGGCATAACGCTACTCTCCGATGTGAACGCAGTTGAGATCGGACGCATCAAGCTGAACAATGCAGACATGCTTCTCTTCCCGCGTTGGTGTTTCACTCCACCGGCTTGCGTCTGGCTGCGAGCATCCATCGCACGATTGAGATCGTCCTCCTTCCTCTCAAGTCGCTGTTGCTCGTAACGTTTCTCCTCCATCAGTCGTTTGCGCATGTACTTGTCACGCTTGTTCTTCTCCTGCTGTACGAGTACCGCCCGTTGGAAAGGTCGAGGACCTCCCTTTTTGCTTGGAGTAGGTAATGGTCCCATACTCGCGGCTTCACGTTGCGCCTCGTCCCTGAGAAGCCTTATGTCGAAAACTACGTCCGCGAACTCTTGCTCGATCCTGTTTAGCCTCTCGAAGTCCATCCGGTCCATTTCTCGGCGCTGGCGATTTCCACGAGCAGCATATGATGACGCATTCGTGATGACGTTATGAAGTTGTCTAAAGAAATTCGCATAGCTTCAGATTAGTCGTAACGAGGTGCAGAATAGTGCTTACCGTCGTTTGTCAAAGTTAACCAGACTGAGGGGTGTATCTAAGTCCATGGGCGAATCCAACACATCGGAAAGACTAATGATTTCAAGCACACGCTCCAGCAACCAAGCAGGATCAACTGTCAGCTTCTCATTGCTCGCAACAGATTCGACCTTCCGTGCAGACAGCATAGAAGTTATAGATTCTATCTGTGCACCTCGAGCACTCGCAACGCCTTGCCATGCCCTGCCGAATATTCGACTCTCAGGGCTGACGATAGCAGATGTGAGTACAGCTTCGACGAACGATCGAACACAGGGCTGCTTTACAGGCCCCAAATCGCTCGGCATAGCCTGTGGGTCAACGCTCCGCATACGACAAATCTCGACAGCCTTGAGGAACAACTCTATCCTCGCTTGCCGGGCCTTGATCCCGAGCTGAGGCGTAGCCAAACAGCATACAGCCCATTTCCGAAGAATGCTGTAAGCCCGAAGCAAGCTCCGTACACCAGGTGGAAGAAGTCGGTATAACGTTTCACCCGAGTATTCGCCTATATAAGACGTCGGCTCAACTTCCATAATGAACGTGTACAGCGTCTGGATCTCGACTTCGTCCGTAAGGGAGGTCGGCTCGCGCGGAAGGAACCAACCCGTACGATCTGAAGTTTGTACCTCGAGAAGGTCAGCAGTGACGTACAAATCCTAAGAAGCGGCAATCTTCGTCAGCGAAAATCATAATGTTTCGCGGGAAGCAAAAAACTTACGTCTTGGTTAACGTTCCGGAAGGCAGCAGCAGCCATTGCATCCAGATTATCCACTAGTTCATCAGGAGTTATATCTTCTAGTTTAGGTGCACGAATACCGAAATTGTGAACGTTGTTATCGGAAGCTTGACCTCGAACAGGAATACTACGGGATTGTGGTCGCATTGTTTGTTCTACAAATGTATTGAGTAAGGAGGCACGTTCTGCTTCATAACTCTTCAGCAGTTGAGAAAGCTGGTCAGACTGCGAAACTAAATTCGACAAATCTTTTTCAGCATGCTGTCCGAGGAAAGACTGCATCGCTGCATGAAGTTCAACATCATCCAGAGCATCTTGAGCACCGCTACCGAGATGCATCCATTCCGCAATGACCCTAATTACAGCCTGTCGGGAATGGATAGCTTGAGCAATCTCATCGCGTGAAGCCGATCCACGCGGAGGCGAGGACGAGAGAAATTCTTTTCTCAGAAGCTAATACAACGTTAGACCTTCCAAGTTCGCAACTATCAGCACGCCGAACTCACCTGGAACAGAACAAAAGGAGACACGAAACTACGAAACGCATTCCACCAAACGCGCGCAAACTCCACACGGTCAACCTTTACCGCACGGGTCTTTTTATCCCGCAGAGCCATTTCACCATTATCGTCCGCTACAGACACACTAACACCATCTAGGCCATGAATTAAAACTTGCACTAAAGCATCTAGTGTACCAGCTTGCACTACTGCATGAAGCGGAGGCTCGCCGTTCTGCTCTACCACAACCACCGCAGCAGCTGACGATTTCTGTGAAAGTGCAGGAAGAGATGCTCGTCGCGCACGGCTGCTTTTCCTATCAAGCCCGGCCGCAGCTGACTTGACTCGGATAGACGGCTGTCTGCTGGGAGACGCGCTACTGATTGCAGACTCCGCTGGTCCACCTTCCCCTCTACTTACAGGACGCGAGTTTGATTCGGAACTTGAAACGACACAGAGCAAGAGCTCGCCATCAAAGACCGGCAGGATCATTCCGCCCAGATCAAACGCATTACCACCGCGTACATTATGCCGAGTAGCACCTCCCGAACGGATATGACCATCCGGTTCGACAGTACCTTGTAGTTCCGGCGGGTGAACAACTTGAGAATCACCCAGGGCAGTACTACTCTCATACGAGAGCTTTTTTGTTCGAACGAGTTGGGCGCGGTCAATGAGAGCGACTGTAGGAAGGAGTTCGGGGACCATGAGGGGGATAAGGACTTGCGGGCCATGGCTAGCCTGCCGGGACCAGTAATAAGGTGCGAAAAGTCCCTTCTTTTTGGCTTCAGCAGCAAAGGAGAGGGACATGAATTGATTAATCCTACAGGAAATCATTAGTAAAAATGGATATACCAAAGCCGGTATATACGTACCGATGAATTTTCATCGGAGGCGGCTTCTTCGAGAGCTCTTTCCAGTGTTGAAGTAACCGATATACGTCTTCATCTTCGGATGCTTCCCGCTGACGGCTCTCTCGAACTCGACAGGTTTTGAACGAAGCAGCGAATCCGTCAAAAAGGCGTCTTGCCTCGTACATGCCTTCGCATTGCCATTCGTTAGACTTGCCTTCATGCAGCTTTTCAAGAAGCTTCATCACACGATAGCGTCCATCGCCACCCCAAGGTGACATTCTCGGCTCTGCAACGCTTGCGCGTTCACCACCTTGCGATGCATACACCCACGTACGTACGACATTAATTGCAGTGGAGTCAACACGTCTCCAGGCCTTCTCCAGCCGCGCAATCGGCTTCGAGCATAGCGCTGCAACGATGGCGTGCCAGGAGCACTCATCACCTGCAAGCCGGCTCATCTCACCCACGCGAGCCCAACGGCCAATAACTTCCGCACGAACATGCGTACGTGATGTCTGTGCTCGAGACGCATGGTCATCAGTACTCATTCCCGCACCCGATACATAATCATCGAGCGAACTCTGGGCTTGTCCTGGTCCGAGGATCTGCATGACAACTGTACGCGTCAGCCAGTGGGGCATATCATCACATCCAAAAAATTCGACCAGTGGTGTCAGCGGCGATTCAGCAAAGAGTACATCGGCGGTGACAGATGTGGCGGCCTCAAGAATAGACCGCTGATAAAGCAGTAGACTGCGCGCTACAGTATCGGGCTCGAGTTTGAGGAAAATCTCCCTCGTGAAACCGCTTGCCTCTAACAAAGACCATAAGCGTACACGCGAAGTTGTAGACCTTACTGACGTTGCGGGAGAAGAAGGCGAACCACGTGAAGTTGGCGTGCCAAGACGTACAGCACTTGCCAACGTCGGTATCCTTTCCGATTCACCAGGACGAGGGGACTGCTTTCCCATGTTGGGCGGTGTTGCCGGCAATGATGGAGGTTGTGTTGCGGACGCCGCAGCTGAGGGGATTATATCACGGCAGAACTCCTTCCAGCTTTCCTCTCCTGCGGGTTTCGAATGATACGCAATATAGTGAGACGTAAGCCAAGCAACTCGCGATCGTGCGCTTTCTTTGTGCTGTTCGTCAGCTCCATTGACGAAATAGCTGGCACAACGGTGGAACTCGAGCTCGAATTTCGTGCGATCCACCAGATAAGGTACAAGAAGCAACACGCTCGAGGCGAAGTCTCGCCACTCGCTCTCCTTCTGAGAAGCTTCTTCACCAGTCGCTGTCTCCGATTTTGGAGAGAAGGTCGTCCCGAAAATAGATTCATGAACAAGTGCCTCCAGGGTACCACGCTGAACCTTCCCATCTTCAGTCACCAAGTCAGGGTGCGTGCGACGTCCCCAAAAAGCTCGCTTCTTGCGCGTCTCCTCTCTGTCCTTATTTGTCCGACTCGGTCCTTCCTCTTCCTCCACATCTTCTTCGATAACAGCCACCAAGCCAGATGGAAAGAGCTCTTTGATTGCAGCGGCCCGGTCACCAGGTGGTTTGTGAAAATAGAGCTTCGAACCCTTTAATACCATCTTAAATGGCTTCCAATTCTTGTTTGAAGATAATTGTGGAGAGGAGGGAGAATAGTTATGCAGCCGGTTGATGAAGCCGGAACGATGAACGATCTGCGAAGCGCGTTTGGACGCATCGTCCAGAGTCGATTCAGGTTCGATGATTGTTGGGGGTGTTGTTGGGACTGGCGCCGAGTTTTTCCGCTCCGGGTGAGCATTGGCGCCAAAGAAGGAGAATCCGCCTCCGCGTCCAGCGGAAGTGGCAGCGTCAACAGACTTGCCCTTTGATCTGTCAAAGTCAAAGGAGCGCTTGCGAGCTGCCTTTTGTGGACTGGCAACTGGAGGTGCTAGCCTCGTATTTGGAGAGTGAGCGCTCGGTGTACTGATAGAGAATCCAGACCCAGAGTCAGAGTGGACATGTCGAATCTGATGTATGGGGTGTTCACTTGGTGGTGTAGAGGGAGTACCAGGCATAGTAGGGAAAGGGTATATTTTATGGTTCAGTGAGCCAGGCGTACTAGGTGTCCCTGTACGATATTGTTCAATCTTCATCTCGAGAGTCGTGTTAAGGGGCGTGAGTTTACTTGGAGGAATTATTTGAAGATTATCAACAGAACGAGACCAGCCTTTACGCGCGATAGCGCGGAGATCACCAGAGCCAGTTGAACCAGTTGGTGTCGCGCCGTTGAGATCTGTACTTGCACGCGAAGAAAGATCGAGTACAGACCTGTGCAGTTTATCAGCAACTGACGCGATAACGGACGTGCCTTGACATACCTGCTACCCCTGTCATTAAGATTTGCTAGTCCGCCGGTGAGCTTCGTGTCCATGGTCGGACTCGCAGCTGCGTCAATGGGACGCGGGTCCGTTGGTCCGGATATCGTCGGCCGCCGTTTTGAGCTCGTTGAGCTGCTAGTACTCACGCGCGGCTCAACAGGACTGGCGCGTGAGCTGGAGGATGTGCGCGTGAACCATTTTGTTGGTCTTGTGAAGAAATTTGAAAGACCTGAAGAGGGCGACGCGGAACGAGTGAAGGAGGGTAAGGAAGGAGATGATTTGACGCCCTGCTGGCCATGGACGGGTGATTGCTGTTGATGCTGGTGTTGCGGGTGGGCGTGTGGGTGCGGCAGCTGCGTCGGAGCAGCTAGGCTGGCCGACGTGCTTGACGAAGATTGCATACGTTTGGCAGGCATGACTGTCGTCGTATTCCGGATGGAATCGTGGTGGACCGAGGGCGTTGAAAGAGGAAGAAAAGAGAGAGAGGAGAGGAATGGATTGAATGTGCCTCAATTCTACAGGCGCCTGACTGGGCGAACTGAATTTGCCGACCGCGTCCCGTTGCAATTGAGTCTTCCTATCTATTATCTCGTGGCCACGCACTTTCCTCTTGCACTTGCCGCAACGTTTGTCGTCACCGTCGTCGTCGTTTTTGTGTGCGGAGGCTCCGCGTTGGTGGTGGTATCATACAAGAAATTGTAGGGAAAAAAGACAGATGAACGCGACGTGACAGATTGATCAACAACCAACCACTGCTAAATAGACTAGACCTTATATTCATCGCCAATCTCTAGCCGTGTCTCGTCTCGGTCTCTTCTCATCAACATCTGCCCTCACCTCACCTCACCCTACCCGGCAACTCTATGCACCGGCTACCAGCGCCATCCTCCTCGTGGATGTCCTCCTAGTCTGAATTATTTGGTCCCATGCACCCTCACACTAAAATCGAAGAACGCATTCACTTCCACGCGACCCGTGTAGGCTTGACGCGTCAATTCTCGTGTACTAACTTGACTTGGCCGCAACTATAACCTGTATTTGAGTTGAACTGCGTGTAACCGACCATCTCATGTTTGGGTAGCGTCTGTCATCTATCTACTATATCAACTGATGTCTCCGTCAAAGGCAGACATTCTATCTGATTTTGATATCTCTCGTATCTCTCTGTGGGGAACTGAGTAAACCAAATCCGTTCAGTGTTTCACGAGTGTTCGGAACAGCGGCCGTATTAAGTCTTCCACGGCATTTCTGAACTTCTATTTCATATTCAAGCACAATAATGCGTTCGCGACTCTACTGAATTTAGACGTATTTCGATAACAGTAAATTCGTGAAAAAGAGATCCCACAATCACATGACGGTATATCTGTCGATCAAACTAATTTTGAGCTTTGACCAGTGATTGCCACGTAGAAGAAAGGAATTCGTGAAGAAGTAAATAATGTCTTTTCAAGTATTTGAGCAGTTCCAATAACTAAAATATTATCTGTGTAATACTGCATCGTGCACCGCGGGTGGCAGTAATTCATAAACCTACGGCCAGTTAAAAATAGTCGCTATGCGATCGGCATCAAGTCTACTCCACTTCTCATCCTCCTACCAACATGAGTCTGTTTATGGACATACTCGTCCTGTCAACCGCCTGGACCCATGTCCTCCTTACATCCTTCACCAAAGTCGAAGAGAGCTTCAACCTCCACGCGACGCACGATGTGCTCATGTACGGCCTGAACGCGTCAAATCTTCCAAAGGTAGTACACCGACCTAGCTTTGGTCGTAAATGTAAATTGACAGCAGCATTGTACCGGACATAGTACGACCATTTCGTGTTCCCTGGTGCGGTACCGCGCTCGTTCTTAGGCAGCATCCTTTTGGCTTGGTGCTCGCGACCTGCCATTTACCTGCTAAAATCACTTGACGCTATCTCGTCAAAAGCAGACCTTCTAATTATTGGTACGCAAAACCAAGCCTACCTTTCACATACTAGTTAATCTTCATGAACGACCGTTCTTCTCCTAGTCAGGCTGGTCCTTGCAACACTGAACACCATCGGTCTGTGTACACTTCGACGGGCAGTCTCCAAGCGTTTCGGCTTCTCGACAGGCGCGTTCTTCACCTTCCTCACATGCAGCCAATTCCATCTCCCATTCTGGATGGGTCGAACTCTTCCAAATATGTTTGCTTTACTTCCCGGTACGTCCACATCTCACATCGTGATTCGTCACACTATTATTAGGAAGAAAGTAACGACGTGCCAACGGAGAAGACTGACATGTCACGACAGTTAACATTGCATACAGCTACGTCATATCCCGCATGCCAAACAGTAGACGACCGGCTCCGGAGAACGTCAGTAAAGCAATCTCGCTCTTGACGTTTACAGCAGTCGTCTTCCGAGCAGAGATCGCCGGACTTCTAGGTCCACTTGCTCTCCAAGCCCTACTTGCGCGCTGGATCTCGTTCCGGGTGGCCCTGAGATCGCCGCTGATCGCCGCTCTCGCATCCATCAGTGCGTGATTGATTCTTCACTTCTCTCCCAATTCATGTCGAATCTAATCAAGTTTCGCATCACATCAAATAAATCCCATCTCACAGCGTTAACCACGCTCCTCGATTCCTACTTCTGGCAACAATGGCCCCTCTGGCCAGAACTCTACAGCGTCTACTTCAACGTATACCAAAATAAATCAGTGGAATGGGGCGTTTCTCCATTTCATGCGTACTTCAGTACGCACTTGCCGAAGTTGCTATTGAGTAGCGCTCCGTTAGCGTGCCTTGGATTGCTGGTTGAACCGCGCGTTAGGAGTTTACTAGTCTCGCCGTTGGTTTTTATCGGGCTTCTTAGCTGTCTTGGACACAAAGAGTGGAGGTTTATCGTTTATGTCGTTCCGCTGTTTAATATAGCGGCTGCGCGGGGCGCGTATTGGATGTGAGTTGTCTTAATTTAGCATACGTCTAATACGTGCTTATGGTGGCTTTGGCGCAGGAGTCGACAACCGATACGTACTATCATAGGCCGGTTATGCCTCCTCGTCCTCCTAGGATGCGTAGCAGCAAACGCCATAGTCACGAATACCTTGGTCAAAGTATCAATGGCGAACTATCCAGGTGGACTAGCGCTCGTGCGGTTCAACGAGCTGTTCGCCGATACGCCCAATGGTTAGTCAGAGTTTTTGTCACCCTTGCTCGCGTTCCTACTGCATGATGCATGATGATAACGGTGAACTAACTAACATATTTGATTTTGATAGTGCACGTACACATCGACAACCTCGCCGCCCAAACAGGCGCCTCACTCTTCCTACACATCCACTCCCCTCCTCCCTTCCCATTCCCATCTCCGTCTTCATCATCTTCTTCCACCCCCTTCCCCTGGCCCTTCCGACATGTACACTCCCCATCAACATCCACCTATCTTTCTTCCCTCTTTTCTCCTTCCCTCCCTTCCCCTTCCCATCGTAAAGATAAATATCAACCAGGCCAACTAAACTGGACATACAACAAAACAGAGAACCTCCTCCCCTCTACCATGACCTCCACACCCCACTTCACACACCTCATCACCGAGTCTCCTAACGACTTCTCTAGTTCTGCGTGGAAGACGGTTGAGTGTGTGAAGGCGTTTGACGGGTTTCGTTTTACGAGGGGAGAAGGAGCGGTGGATGGAGAAGGGGAAGCATTAGGAGCATTATGGGAGAAGATTCCGAGGTTCAGTATCATGTATTCTGATAAGCTGTGTATTTTGAGTAGGCAGTGAAGACTATAAGCTTCATAGTTATTAATGTCATATATCATCATTATTCTTATGCCAATTTTACTTTGCTGTATTATGTTACCGATGATAAGAAGACTGGTTATTTGCATCTTATTTTCTCGGACGGTTCTTTTATGTTCCTAAAGTATTATCCATCAACCAGCTCAAAGACGCAGAAGACCCCACACAAGACAGAAAGTAAGTAAGCTGCTTATCTATTTCACAGGTAAAGTAATCAGTACAAAAGGACCTTCCGAACCATAAAACTACAAATATACACAAATATATGTGTAACCTGACGGGAAAAAAAGATGGAAAGAGTAGAAAGGCAGAAGAAAAAAATCACCAACGCAGCATAGCTTATTAAAAAAATATCAGTAATCAGTCTCGGGGCAAGTGAAACGAGGGCAAGCGAAGAAGATCGAAGCGTGAAAAAGTCGAAAGTTAGCAAAACCCTGAAAGTTCGAAGTATTCGAAAACCCGCAAAGACGATTAAATGACAAATGACAAGTGGCAAGAAAGAAGGTCCAAATGCAATGAAAGATGATAGGATCTACGAAAAATATTATTCGTGAGATGGATTGGATTGGACTGAGTTGGGGCTATTGCGACACGGTCAAGATAGATAACAAAGAAAGAATGGAATACATAATCAGTGAAAGAGAAATGAGGAAGAAATCATAAGACATAAACCATAGAAATCATAGATACGAAACTCATATGCCACATAATAGAAGATGGGCAAAAAAAAATCTGGTATCAATAGAAAAGAAAGACAAAAACATAGAAAGCGAGGTATCATCAATTCAAAAGAAACACATCATGACGGCCATCCCCTAGCCATCCTCGCAGCTTCCCCACCAATACGTCCAATGAAATCCCAAACAGTCGCTGCACCGTCCGGTGCGAAGCCTTCACCAAGCGGATACAGGTTATTGAACTGCGAGAACGCTGCACGGTCGTAATATGTCGGGCCACCGGGTACGTGGTACGTAGGTTGCAAGAACGGTCCGTTCAGGAGTCCCGCAGCGATGATACATCCACCAAGAACAACCGCTGCTTGTGTGATCCCCACAGCAAGAGAGCGATCATGATCAGCATCTGGTTTGCCGTATACGAACGTGTTGTAGATATTGGTCAAGCGGTTAATTCGACTGCTCGAGCTTGCGTCTGTGGCTGCCGTGGCAACGGAACGCTCGCTTCGTGTACCATCGCGTGAACGTCCTGTCTTGTATGACATCTCGAGCACCTTGTCGACAGCAAGACAGTCAAAACCGATCTCTTCCTTAAGTGCTGCCCATTCCTCCAGAGCATCGTCAGAGATACCCCTAGGAGCAGGGGAAAGCGGAACTTCAAGTCCCCTGTGCCATTTGAGGATAGCCTCCGCAGCCACACGCATGTCGCGTTGCTCCTGCTCTTCGTCGTTCTGGCTACTCTCCGCATATGAAGGCGGTAAGTCACGAACAGCTCGTTTGGGATGAAGATGAAGAGAAGAGGATGACTCGTCGGCAACAAACGTCCCGGACTGCTCTGATTCTTCCGGGGCGTCGGTTTGGACTTCCGTCTCCACCTTTAGGACAGGCGGAGGAACTGGAGTAGTATCCGTCTGAATTGAGGAAGACGAAGTTGGTTTGTATTCGGTCTGTGTGCTGAATGATGCCATCTTCTTCTTTGGCTCTGGTTCGGTTTGCATGGAGGTAGACGCAGTGAACTCCGATTTCTCGTATTGGGTGTACGCGTCGGAGTAATGTTTCACGTCCTCATACTGGACGGTTTCTACTCGCTTCATCGCTCGGCTGGCAACCTTCTGTGGCAATTGTCAGCGAGATTCACTTCGAGTATGATGAGCAATATTTCCTTACCTTCTTGCGACGAGTAATGATGGTTTGAACAACATCTTCGCCTTCAGTTCCTTCATTATCGGTCTCCTGGTCGCTAACAGCAGTACTCTCGTCCTCTTCATCGGTAGATTCACCGCCTGGCCATTTTCCGCTGTTCAGTCTCGCCAGTTCAACTCCGAGGCTCTTGCTGATGCTGCCCTGATTGCTGGCTTGGCCCTTGCCCTCAGCAGTCATGGTTCCGTCTGCTTTGTTTCGAAGCTCATCCATGTCGAAACGCAAACGATCGATGGTCTCTTTAAGTAGCAAATTCTCCTGCTTTTGTTCCTCAAGCTGCGCTTGGGCCTCACGTGCTATAGCAAGTTGGTTCTCAAGTGACTGCATGAGGTGTTCCATTTGGTCCTGTTGCTGTTGCCATTTTTCGATCTCTAGACCATGTAGAGAGATCTTTTCCGTCGCATCACGGTACTGTTGATCTCGATTGCGTAGAGCATTTCTCAAGCTCTCAGACTCCGCTGCAGATAGATAGTCATGAGCAACAAATCATTGTGGTACTCAGGAACGAGTGGTACACTTACTGCATTGCTCTTGGTAAAGCTTTTGTAGGCTTTGGTATGAGGCCTTGGCAGTCTCGAGGGCCCTCTGGGATTTGGCAATCTCGCTCTCCAAAGCTTGAATCTGGTGGATATATTTTGTTTCCTTCGCGCGCAGTTCCTTCTCCTCTCGCTTGGACGAGCTCAGTTCACTCTTGGTCTCTTCAAGGGCTATCTCCATCCTCTCGAGTTCGGCTTCATGGTCCGTAATCCTGTTCTGTAAGATACGGTCCTGTTCAGCTACTCGTCGCTGGAGGTCCTGGTTAGAGCGCTGCAATGCTTCTTCCCGCTCTATAGTTTCGAGGGAGGCCATTGAACCGTTTCGGGTATGAACTAGTCCTAGCGTCGCGTCCACTTCATCCTCAGAGTCCTCAGAGTCCCCATCTTCGGCATGATCGTAGTCCACACGTGGCCGATCGGTTGGTGACATGATACCCTCCAAGCTTGCACTCAGGCTTCCTCCATAACGATTGCGCGAGTTTGCACGGGACGCAGAACGAACAGGCGGAGAGTCCCAGAGTTCATTGTCCGAAAGTCGGGGGGACACAGGATTTGATGGTGCACGAGGTCGTCGTGACATACGAGAACTCGGTCGCGAGTGAGTGGCCGATTGCTATTCTTTGGTTATGCATTGTCAAAACATGAGTACTTTGGACGCGTACCTCTGAGTCACTACCACCACCACGTGAGTAGTTACCAGCGTCGCTCCGTCTCCTCGCAGTCGTGCCGACCCGCTTTGAGTTCCAGCTGGACGGTGCTGCTGCGTGAGAAAGTGGTGCAGTACGCTTACGCCGTGCACTCTCGAAAGGTGAGTCTGGAAAACGAGCTGAGTTCGGAGTTTTCGGAGGAGGGATAGGGGGAGGAGCAGGTCCACGACTTGAAGAACGTGAAGACGGACCACTATTGTCTGCCCATTCATCTTCTCTTCCTCTGTCTTCAAGCAATGTTGACTCATCACCAAGCGTTTCTGTTGCGTTCATCTCCGTCAGGCAGCGTAGGAAGTTCAACAGAATGCTTGGTGTGACTTCCATCCCAGGGTTGGCCGTGACGAGCTCGTTGAACCTAGCCTCCTCGTCGTCAGCCAACAGCTCCATGCCATCGTGGTGTTCACCAAACACGCGTAATACATCAACGAGGGCATGAGCGGGGACTGCGGGCTCTCCAGCGTCGTTTATTCGGGATTCATGATGAGTTGTAAATAGGTCATAGAGTTCAGCTTCGAGATCAGCAACGGAATCGCGATTTCTGTTTTCAGAAACCTGCAGAAAGTGAGTTACAGGCTATTTGGGAGTATTGCATGAAGACAGACGCACCATAGTTGTTTACATGAGATGGGGGAAGCAAATGCAGGGAAAGGGGTCGTGAGGATATTTGACGCGTCGGGCCAACAGACACAGCAACTTGAAGCGTGGTCTGTTCTCCCCATATTTGGAAATACGCTTTGTCATGGGCACAAATGATGCTTGTAGCCACCATCATTTGGTACGTCTACGAGAATACAAGACGTTTGGCGCATTCAACATGCGGAGTACGTCCCAGAATGGCAAGCCAACACTGATTTTATGTTATTGGACAGAAGAACACACCGATGCAGTGGTAGAGTCTCTGGAGCACAACTCAGACAGGTGTCTGGCAGCTAGCGCGCCGATAAAGTCCAGGCGTTCTGATAAGTATTGTTTTCGGTAACGCTGGCAAGCAATCATAGATTGGATTTAAGAGGAAATAGCAAAGAGTCGGTGAGTGATTTGACCTGAAGAGTTTTAGATAGCGAATAATCCCTCTATTCCTTTGTTTTGCGTCGATCAGCTTTGTCAAAAGGACTAACTAGTAAATTGATTGCATTGAATTTGCTTTACCACACCCACACATATAAATAGTGAATCCCGCACACAGTAGTTATTGGTTCAGAAGTTTTGTGACTCTAAGTTGCACACAGAGAGAAATCCACATTGCACTGTAACTATTTGTGTTTGTTCATACCATGATAAGGCACGTTTCCATAAATACATGTCTGACCACACTTTTCCGTAATAACATGATATTAATGCCCCTACTAATATATTATTTTACCTTCACTGTACCTACGCAGTCTCAAATGGACGGGCGACAAGCTTCACCCCGCTCACTTTGTTCTCCTTCAGCCGATTCAGCCCATCCGGGATTCCAGCCAAACCATTTGGAAGCACCTCAATACGGTTCGGCTATTTTATCAACCCGTCAGGTCGCATCTCTCAGATTAATAACAAATATAACATACCTTTATCGTCCCATTCTCAAGTAGGTGCGTCAACTTGCTTTGCAAACTGGCACCCAGCTGTCGCAACTCCGGTGAGTGGAGATCAGCGAAGACGGTATCGATAACTGTCTTTCCCTTGTTCTTGTCGACAAATGCCTCACGTGAAACTAAAACCAGTGTCCCGCCAGGAGCAAGAACGTCCCAGGCCTGTTGCTGAGTATTTTTCTCGGATATGGCATCGTATACCAACTCGACTGGGGTGTCACCGAGAATCTCTTTAACTTTGGTTGGAACATCCGCTTTGCGATCAATTACGTGATTTGCCCCGAGCGATTCAAGGAACTCGGAGTTGTGCAATGAGGCTGTCGCGATGATAGGTGAAAAACCAGACAGCTTCGCAAGCTGTATTACTAAGAGAAATGTCAGCACCAGCGTTTCCGAGACCGAGACATATGTTTGTGATGGAGTTCCTTACCATATTGTCCGACAGAAGACGATCCTCCGACAACGACAATAGGCTTTCCACGATACAAACCTTCACCATCTTCCTCCCAAGAAGGTGTGTATTTCTGAACCCCGGCTGGTCGGTCGGCGTAAAGGCCTACAGCCGCAGTCGCTATACCGAGAGGGATTGACGCAGCCTCGTCGAAAGAGACATTGTCGGGCAGCTGTAAATCATAGTTGTACCAGAAGACCCTCTGGTGGAGAGAAGGAAAATGGCTGACCTTCGCTGCAATTATAGCTGGCACCGTGGCATACTGCTGGAATGTAGCCTTGTCATAAGAGAAAAAGTTTCCTTCGTAGGCGCTGGAAATGAGAGTCAGTCTCGTTACGAGGTACACGGGGAAGTTGACATACACTCTGTCACCCCTCTCAAATCTTTGCACACCTTCACCCAGAGCCTCCACGGTTCCTGCAGCATCTATGCCGAAGATAGCAGGATAAGTAGGCACGAAGACATTGAATTCATGCCTTTTCCAGTCTGCAGGGTTCAGAGCGGTCGCATGGATCTTCACCAAAAGTTCTCCAGGTCCGGGCTCCGGGATAGATGTTTGTCTAACGCGGAACTCGCCCTTGGGGGTCTCGAGAAAAAGCGCCTTTTGTTCAGCCATTGGCAAAGATTATGTCGACAATGAGATGGGGATAAAACCAATGCCCCTGTTTTCTAGAGATTTATATCAATCTGAAAGAGATCAGAATAATAATGCCGGAAATCTTATAAATCCGCGGGCGCGAGCACGAGGAACTTAGTAAAGCAGCCCCTGTGCAATCCCAGCCCCAGTACAGTTACTACAGCCGAGTCGTTACTGAGACATGTTTTTGAGGGTGGACGGGACGATAGAATCGGACCCTGCATATTCAGTATGCAAACGCCCGCTTCGCTCGTCTTAGCACGTCATAATAGCGCTGTACTGGATACGAATAATTACGATGCGTCGAGTTTCCCGCGTGGCTTGGTTGCAAAGATTAGAGTACACCAGCAAGCGACCACCGCCCATGAGTAAGCTTGAACGGATGACATGACGCGTTGCAGTCGGCATGGAATGCTTCCACTGCCAGCAGTGGATTAAGTTGATGGCCGTGAGTTAGCTTTACCTCACATCGAGACAGTGGATCCGCATAATTTCGGTTCAGAAAGCCTGTACCTCTAATTTACAGTGTTGCACAGTGCAGGATGCACATTGCGCGAGAAAGATAATTTGTGCTTATTTGTACTGACGATTACAAAGCACAGCCCTACAGGCGCTTATGTCTGGTGACTCCAAACTATGGCAACCGTTATCGTGATTTATTTGACTGATCAACATTGTATAACCGAGTCATTATGTAAACATGCAATTCCGAACTTACAACTTTGAATATCAAACTTCACGTGATATTTACACTGGGGTCACACGGTCTCCTTCACAACATCAACAATCTACTGGTGCATTTCACACGCCAGACACATGCAACACGACGATTGTTGCCAACGAACGTAGGATGCCGTCGACGACACACTCGAGCTTATTCCGACGGTTCATCACATCTCAATCTCAACCTTTTCCGTTTGCCGCTGAGGCACCTTCCATGGAACTCCTTTTGATTTCTTTCTCATCCAAAATTATCAGTTCATAACCATCACACTTTCATTTTGGCTTTCTTCTACAATTTACCCAATTCCCTGGCCCTCAACTTCACTCCACTCTCAGATTCATTTCATTTTTTGTCTTCCCTTTCATGCACTCAGGTCTCACTCCTGGCTTGTCCCTTTCTTCGACTTCCTTATTGCAACTTCCTTGCCTTTTCCATTGCCTTGCCAATTTTTTCTGTTTGATTCTTCTCACTTACAGCTGTTTTCAAAAAGGTTGGCAATTCCCATGATCATGTGATTTTTAGCACATGTTGTGTTCTAAAATGTTTTCAAAATGAAAGAAACACAAAATTCTCTATTAATTTCTATCCTATTCACTTAGAATAAAAGGTGTAAAATTAGATTAATACTATAAAAACTTAGATGTATTAAAATTTTTATAATAAAATAAGTATTAGGCTACAAAAATGAATAGAATGCTAGGCTAGTGTAACATTCTCAATATTTTTCAAAGACAACAATTATCTAAAACACAGTCTCAACAGCTTATAAACTTCTAGTTATACTTATATAATAGTATTATAGACTATAACTACACTGTGTATAAGTTTTATAGTCTGATAAGTAACAGTTATTCCTTAATTCCATTATTGAGAAAGAAAGTGTTAGACTCAAATAAATACTTATCCTTTTGACACACTCTGTAACATGTTAATCTAACTATTATTTTAGTTGTATACTGTATAACAAGCATTTTGAGTTGTTGATGTATATTAAATATTACCATACTTTCTAATTTAGCTTTCTGAGTAAGTCTATTTCCTCAAGTAGCCATGTGTTCTTACTACACAAGGGCATTAAATAGGACCGATCAACGACAGAATTGACCCTCTACCCTCCTCCTTGTAGTGTCACCACTATGCCTTATAATCCACCTACAAAGGTACTAGAGAATCAACCTGAGACACTGACAACCAAACATATTCCAAAACCTTCAGCAAAAGTGAAGAGTATGGTAGATGATATGACAAAGAAGAGTCGTCCTTCTCCTACTGAGAGTAAGAAGCCGGAGACAGAGAAGAGAAAGCAAGGGCGTCCAAAGAAGGATCTAGTGTCTAATAATGTGTCTGAGAATTCAGTATGTATTTCAAGCTTGGTTTATATTGGTTTTTTAGACTGAGTATTCTACTCTATCAAGTAGAGGATACTGGCTCAGAAACACTGTCAAGTGATGTCCTTTCTAGTGGACAAGAGGCAGTATGGTCTTTATAGAAGGATTTACATACATTACTTACAGTTACTTTGTAGCAAACTAAGGAGGCATTTGTAGAATATGGAGAGGAACCGTCAGAACTGGATGTAGTCCATTTGCTTGCTACTGAAGTTACTGAGGGCTCACTTTCCTTCGAGAGTATTGAGCTGGATAGTGAAACATTTGAAGAAGGTATGTTTCATTTTATTGTGAATACAAAGTCTGATTGATTTGTAGAAGACACTATTATGTCTACTCCTGTGGTACACAGGCATCAATTAGCAAACAACACTGTCGAAACTGATAGTGAAAGACTAGTCAAAGTCAGTGTTCACGATGGGACAGGCTTACGGATCATTCGCCTCAAGAAGTTGTATAAATACTTATATGTCCTTGAGCTGGCGTCTGCCTCGATGAAGTTGATGCCAACAAGTGTGGAGCTTGGCTACAAAGCAAGCTGGTCATCAAAGACAGGTAGCAAGCGAAATATCATGTTTATCACGTCTTCGGAGGAGCTTGCTGATTTCTGGGAGGAATACAAAAGGTATAATGCAAAACCAGGCAAGAAATGTGAGATTGTATTTCGAAACATGCAAGAACCTGTTACTTCAGTAAGTAATTGTTACATGCTAGATAAATAGAGAACTGACTCACATCTCCTATAGACAGTAAAAAGGCCTGCAGGACGTGGATCAGGGCAGACTCAGGAGGGTGCAAGAGACTTTAGTACAGTTGAAACAAGTCCAGCATCCTTAGCAGCTCGGGACTCGATTGAGGAGTCACTTCAGACAGCAATTCAGCAGGTGACAGAGGGAATGCACTGTCTAAGGCACCGACGTCCCTGTTATCAACTTGTCAATGGAGAACACAAAGTATACACACATGTAAATATAAAGGACCATGCTCAACGCCTTGTAAGTATAAGATAGTCTATGCTTAGAGTAGACTCACACCTGTTAATAGGTACAGAGTGAACCTGGAGTTGTGCCAAATCAGGTACCTGCTAGTATGAGCTCCAGGCTTTTGGACGTTAGTACGAGACGTCGCAAAACACAGCATCCAGGTGTAACTCAACCGAATACGGAAGTTTCAAGCATTTCTACCCTTTCCGAAGCTGGTGACAGTATCTCTGAGACTCCAAAGGACAACCCACCGAATCCAACACATTCTGGTCCCTTGAATTACCCCACTGTAGATGTCTGGCGTCGTTACTGCCAGCAGCACATTGAACGAGGCCGCGATGCAGTACACACCTACACATCCCTCATTTTCGTCTTGCAGAAAAATGACTGCACTCGCTTGGACGACGTTGCGAGGCTCACCACCGAAGAATTGTGCTCACTTGCTATGGAGTGTGAAGTCGAAGCATCAATCGGTCTTGTCAAGCGCGTGGTTGCATATGCTCATGAGGACGTAGCCAAAGTGAAGAATGATGGTTACCTAAAGATGGATGCTTAGCTGGATGGAGTTTCATACATCAGACGTTCAACCGTCACCGTCTTTGCTCTAATTCGTCACTGTCAACCGGTGGAGTTTCATACATCAGACGTTCAACCGTCACCGTCTTTGCTCTAATTCATCACCGTCAACCGGTGGAGTTTCATACATCAGACGTTCAACCGTCACTGTCTTACCAATGCTATTGCCCCAATTCATCATTGTCAACCAGTGAATTTCTTGTAAAGCAATCAGAGTAATACAAATAACACGAACATGGATTGATGTACATGCAGCTTCTTGTGAACAATACCATGAGGCCTACCATCAAGAATACATGCTAAGAATATCCACAGTGATAAAAGAACGATTGACAGTCGGCAGCACTTATTGTAAACACTTGCCGATACAGCTCCTCATAAATAGAATATTCGTCCCTGAGGCTATTGAGATGTTCATCAATCCGACGAAGCCTTGACTTGAGAAGCGAAAACGCTAATTCGATGGGATTTAGGTCGGGCGAATATGGAGGAAGATATTCCAACCGTACTCCACTACAACCCATGTTAGAAAAAAAGAATGTGACAAGCTATTTGTAACGCACCGGCTAGTGATTAACTGTTCGATCTCTGGGGCCTTGTGAATGGGGCAATTGTCCATCAAAATGACGAAGCGCGGTCCAGGCCAAGGCTGCATTCGCTCGAGGAGATGTTCAATAAATGTATAAAACTTTGCTGTATTGTATGACCCCTCAATGATCATACAATCGAGCATACCGTCCACATGAATTGCAGGGAGAATTGAATACCTACATATTTGCCTATTACTTCAGATCTTCAACTCAGCAAAGCTATGTTACATACCTTTTTCCTCTAGCAAAATGTTGTTTCCTACAGGCCCGAAGTCCTGAAAGTGCCCAGGCTCTCTTACGCAGCCAAACATTTCGTTCACATGAACTTTCATCAACAGCAACAATTTCGTCAACGTCATAATCGGCGATGCGTTCTAAAAACGCGGCCCTCAGTGCTTCATTACGTTCCAGTGCTGATGCAGAAATCTGTAGGATAAAAAAAATCAAAAAATCAACATTTTCAAGTGGACATGTGAGGACAAATTACACACCTCCTTGAGTGTGTACCCAACCCTTGTTAGAGTCCTCCATATTGTTGTATCGGAAACCTCGAAACCCAGCCGACTTCTCAAAGCAATCCGCAGCTCGGAGATGTATTGATCATTTTTTTGTTCTGCAAGATGAACCAATACCTTTACATGTCCCGTTAGGCCCTCTTAGACCAGATAAAACATCAATCGAATGAAACAGTACTCACGTGGGTATCTGCAAAATCTAGCAGTCGTGGCCGACCCACACTCAAACGCTTTGTCGGACAAACCGAACCCGTTGCACACCACAATGCAAGAATGTTGTAGACAGTGCGCACGGGAATGCGCAACACACGTGCAATCTCAGCCGCATTCTTTCTATCTTCGTTGAATAACACTGGAATGAGCTCGCGGAGGTCGTTTGATGTTGCAACACCACGCGTCATGTTGTGGTCTGTGGCCAAAGTCAACTTGGCAATGTGACGGCCACTTTACATTTATGACCGCATGAGTCACATCCTTGCGAGTTGTGCGCTTGCTGACTTGCTCACCATCTATCACCATCTCTGCTATATCCCATGAGTCAAACAATGTCCGATACCATCATTGAAGAGGGTGACCCATCCCCAATGTTTACCCAAGGTGTGTCATACAGTGTGGTGCATTCCCTCGCACATTTTGACGTACTCCAGGCTCATTGCCCGCCGAAGACTCTCAGTTCTCCTATGGCACTGGAGAGGACTCGTCTGCTGCACCCCTTTCTCCGCAATATGGCACCTATACTTACAAGCCTGGATCGCCCCACGGATCCCTGGACTCTGTCAGTGCGTAAATTGCGTTGTTTCGCTATTCCAAACCTACTGACTGACGCGTTGAATTAATTCGTGTTTAAATTTAAAGCACTGGAGGGACAGGCAAAGAAGGAAGTTGTCGTGCGTTCGGAGTTGCTTATCAAAGATGCTGCGGCCAACGTGAACAATTCCGAGGCACTGTTGGCAGCTTCAAAAGCATTGTTTGAGGCTTTCAAGGAAAGCGCCTATGAAGCGAAGCGCCAGAGGGAGACAAACAGGCAGATGTCCGAGGCTATCAAGGAAAGCGCTTATGAAGCAGAGCGCCAGAGGGAGAAGCTGGATGTGCTTTTATCAGAATTGGATACGGTGAAACTTCATGTCGAGCATGTGAGTGATATTCGGTAGCATCGTTGCACATCCGAGTATTTATGCATACTTCAGCCCCAGGCTTTCATGGATATCCAAAACCTCCGTAATGTTTCTGACACGCCTCGTGATCTGCTTGCTCAAGGCTTTAGGGCGATCTGGGGACCTCGTGTTTATCCGTCTAGTTGCTTCTATCCTGATCGCATGGGCCGCGAGAGCAAGACGTGCCACTTCGCTCCCTTCGTCAAGGCCGTTTATGTACATTACGAGAGGCTGTTCAACAAACCGGCCCCCCTCAAATTGCATTACGAGAGCCGCAACGAGGAGACGAAATCCATTCGGTCCATCAGCTCGTTGAAGCCGGAGAGGTCGGACTTCCTCAACATTGACTTTGACAAGGTCAAGAGGGACGAGGCCTTGAATCTTGAGATGGTCCTAAAGAAGAAAAGTATTGTAGTCAAGGGGAACCAGGAGGAAGCCAATGCTACAAAACTTACATTCTCAGAGTTCACGAGCTGCTTCCTCCAGGCTTATGATCGTGCAAAGGACCTGTTCAAAGTCACCAAAGAGGAATTCGTTCCACACGAGCTTCTTCCCGATATGACAGTGGAAGAGCGTGGTGCTGGCCTGGAAGGCATGATTAGGGCCCACAAACGGTTCATCATAGAGTTCCGTGAAGAAGTTGCGAGGTCCGAGAAGCAAAAGGGCCCAGATGAAGGCCATACGCACAGGGACGGCTCCGATACATCCAGCAATGATATGAGTAAAAGGCATCGTCTGTTCAGCCCCTTGAAGAAAGCCTGGAATAGACTTAAAGCGACGGAAAAGAAGAAGGATGCAAAGACCAAGTTCAGTGAACGGACAGCAATGCAGTTCTTGGTGGACAAGCTAAAGGCTTTCGAGGAAGCACAAGCGAGATACGTAACGATTGGTCGCGCTACTGCAGTCCTCCTAAACGACAACTTGCTCGAACTCTGTGTCAATACTGATAGAGAATTCCGTGTGATGATGAATCAATACGTTCATGGCGAAAAGTCCATCAATGCTGATATCAAAAAAGCCGTTAAGAACGCGAGGAACGTTCTCCCTCAGCTAAGCGCCGAAACGGTGGAGAGTTTCAAGTTGCTGTACGACATAGGCTTCGAGACGCGCCCTGCTGAACGTTTCGATCCGGGGAGAGACTTTGAAACCATCATCAACAATGCCAGATGGCCTAGCACTCAGCACAAGCACAATGACTCTCGTTTCAAGGGGGCACCAATCACAACGAGGGATGACAGAACGACGTCAGCCCAGCCCAATCCCAGCCGCGCGTCTTTACCAAGCTCTGGACAATCACAGGCTATTTCTGCAGGAAATCGATATTCCCAGCCATCTGCCCATTTGCTGCAAACAACGCAACAGCCTGCAGGAGGAAACCAACGCCGTTCTGAGACGATTCAAGTTTCAGCAACGTACAATTCGCCCACCCGCGGCTCATACGCTTCCCGAGTTGGTTTAAGCAGCAGGCCGAGTAGCAAGGCCTCGCAAGGCAGTGGTAAGTTTCACGTCGTGTTCTCCAGTGCTATTTGACCACTAATTACTGAACCTGGTTCCAAAGCGACTCGCGGTTCAAGGTAAGAAGTTCATTTGAATTGATGTCTCGTTGCCTTCATATGATAGTTTGCCATGCATGTATCTTGAATATGTTTTGTTATGCTTTGTAAACCAACAATTGTCTGTATGCAATAAGCCCAGAATAAAGTGCCTGTGAAGTTGCATAATAACAACTTAATTGTTTTTTTGTGTGTTGCACATATGCTAGTTTGAAAGGAAACTTGTAAGTGGAACTAATGAACTCAAATCACTTTGAATGAGGGATGAGATGGTATTATTACTGAGGTGGTTCAAAGAATTCCTACCACTGTTTGCCAAGAGTGGCATTTGAAAAGTCTAACCTGGTTAAGAACAAGTAACCAAGAACTGTAGTATTTTGAGGTTGCCAAAGTATAAGTCAAAGATCAGGTAGGACCCACACAAGTAACTCTATTACATCCACATATCCATCCATCTTTATCTATTGTCCAGTCAAAGACAGGATCTATATTGAGAACAAGGTCAAAGGCAAGATGTCAGACATTGACTACTAAGTAACTTGAAGAAGGAAGTTGTTATCACACCTTCTACATTCTACAGTCTAATTGTACAAATTATATAGTTTAAGAACTAAAAAATATAATTCAATAATCAATGAGATTCTTTAATTACACAATAACAAGCCCCCCATTTTCTACAGAATTTGGCTAGGAGACAAAGGTCTATGTAGAGATTTTTTTGAGACCAATCTGAAGGTATTGTGCTCTGTGGATCAGGAGATATGTTTTTTCCAATTCTGTGAAATAATAGATTAGAAGAGAAGGAATTTGCTTCTTTTTTTGTGTGTGTGTTATTTCTCATGTTATTGTCAAATATGAGAGCATAATTAGATTCTTATAGTATTAAAATGTTTTTTACATGTATTACTTAGTATGATTAAAGTATCTGCTTCCTACAATTCTTAATTCTTCTCATTTTTGAGAAGAAAGTACAAAGTATGTTACAAATCACATGATTGTGGGAATTGCCAACCTTTTTGAAAACAGCTGTAAGTTCATATTGTATTTCAACTCAGCAATTGTAGTATTTTTACACCTCATCCTCAATTTTCTATTGTTAGTCTCCTTCCTACACTGTTATATTAACTTAATTGTACAATTGTCTCTTAAATACTTGTACACATATGTTGGTACCTGGGAGGGAGAAGTTAGTAAGGTGTTTTACTGAAGTATTCACCTATTAAGAATATTGGCTCAACTTCTATAAATAAAGAAAGTGTACAATGTCTGAATCTCAACTTTGCTAGTAAGGGATGTTGGTTCACACAGAAGGAACCAATTGGTACAATCTGAAGTCTGTACCTTGAGAGGGTTAGTAGTAACATACACATCCTAAGAAGTAGTAATCTTTGTCAGCAAAAATTATAATGTTTTGCAAGAAGTAAAGACTTAGGTCTTAGTTAATACTCTAGAAGGCAGTAGTAGCAATTGTATCCAGATCATCTACTAGTTTATTAGGAGTTATTTCTTCTAATATAAGTGTATGAATACTAAAGTTATAAATGTTGTGATTAGAGGCTTGTCCTTAAACTGGAATGCTAATGATTGTAGTTGTATAGTTTGCTCTACAAACATATTATTGCTAGATATGTTAACATTACAGTAATACTATAACATTCAAATTTTAAAGCTATGAAATACAAGTATAGAAATTATAACAAAAAGATCTTGTTTAATCACAAACATTATAGTAGAGATCTACACACTATACAGTTATAGAGATATGTTCAAGTACTATAATGTGAATTTTTTTCTAATCAATTATATGTGCACAATCCTGAGTCTGCTTCTAAACCAGACATTCATTAATGTTAACTTATAAAACTAAGGACAACTTACTTTACAAAAGGTTTTTATTTTATTAGCTACTTTCTTTACAAAAAATGATCTAGTAGTAAAGATATTTTCTAGTATAGTTATACCAAATTTCTTAAGCTTGCAACTAGGTAACTTAGAAACTATTAGTTAATTATATTAATTAATAAAGTAATATAAATAAAATATACTAGAAGACAGAGGTTCATTCTATTATATAGATAGTCTTCTGAATTAAAAATGTCATCCTCTGCACCTTTAAGGTTCTCCATATCTGTAGCAGCAGCAAGCTTTACAGGGTATCCTACCTGTTCTTAAGAACCTTTTGTTACAAAAAAGATATTGATTTTATTCTACACTCCAGCTGCTTGCTTGTTGCCTTGTGTAGTAAACAGTAGAAGGAAAATGCCTTTTGGTGGCAATACACCTTTAATGTAGTCACCTCCATCCAACCCAAGAGCATTGCTCCATACATTAAGGTCCAGACCACTACACAAACAAACAAAATGAGTTTGGGTGCTAACAGTTGAATACTACTTTTGTAGTATAATGAGTGTAGTTAATGCTTTAGCTATATTAGCCTTAGTTAAAGTTCAAAGCATTATAATAAAGCCTTACCTGTGATAGTGGTAGCATTATTATCTGTTTCAGGACTTGCTGTTTCCTGTTAGCTTGAATGCTAGTAGTAGTTAGCAATACTAGATGTAAATAATGAAGGACTAAGTATAACTCACAACATTATAGGGTTGTGCTTGACTGTACAAGCTCTGGTTATCCACCAGCATTGCATCAAGAGAACCAGATGATGCTAGCAGTATCTGCCATAATGTAACAGCAGTCAAACCATAGGTAATCAGTAATGCTTGGCAAAGAGGAATGCTGGACTAAAGTAAATCAAGAGAAGGAATAAATCACAGATACAGAATGGAGTGTGGAAAACATGTATGACAGAAGGAAATGAAGGCAATACACAAAGTGAATTGAAAGCTGGGGACTAGTGAGGTAACTATACATACAACAGAACGACAGGATGCGAAACAAAGTATCTGTAACCAGTATGAGACAGACCATTAATGCACATACCTCTCTATTACCATTATTCTCTTGAAAGGATGTGTTTTGCTGAAGGCTCGAACCCTCCTAGTTGTTTGGTCGGCCAGACGATGATGGTGATCAATCAGCACAACATAATGCACAGACGAATCCAGGACCCACCTGATCCCCAAATGCCCAAGCCTATGTTGCATCCCATGAATTTCCACCTGCTTGACTTTCATAGTAGCCTCCCTGAGTAAATTCGTTGTAGTTGGACATTGTGCTGTGTGAGATGGAATGCATAGGATGTTTTCGTCGTGGCACAGTGCTGTACTAGGGAATGCGTAGGATGCTTTCGTCACGGCACGGTGCTACACTGGGGTGATCGACACATACCATTCTAAGCCTGCAAATCAATCGGAGTTTGAAAATTGACTTGAATGAGAGTAATTAGCCCCTCTCAATTCTATTTTTTTTTTTCGATTGAAATTTCGCTGCAGCACAGGGATAGGATCTTGCAACCCTGTGCTGAGAAATGTAAATCAACTGATGAATTGAGATTATCAGTTGATTTTTTCCTTCTGTGGCTTGTGTAAATAATAGTTAAATACAAGTTATAAATATTTTCTAAATAAAAGAAATTTATTTTACTTATAATTTTGTTAGATTACAGTAAGGAGACTTGGTATACTGAATATATGCACTCACTACTCTTGTTGCTTAATTATGAGAGCAGTTTTACTTAGCTTAGGCTACTTGAGTTGCATATGTAATCTTCATATTGAAAGTCCAACGAGATTCAAGAGCTCTCGAGCTCTTGAATTCGCTTGAAAAAAATGCGTCTTAAAAAGGATAAATTACATGTGCCTGACTAGGGTCTCTTACATCGACCCTTACTCTACCCTTACTAAAACTTGCCATGCCGAAAATAAATCGGCCATTTCAACAGAATTGAGAGGGGCTATTGTGTAGCGACCGCGTTTGAATTCTGGTCTGCCTGTTGTAAGTGGCAACGCAACATGTTTGGTCGATTTTTTTCGACGAGAATTCTTGCTGTCACTGGCGTTGAGGGTACTTGTAAGGTATGGTTCAGGAGAGATGACGATATTGACTCCTTCGCCAAGGGGATCAGGACCATCCAGCAGGTCTATCTCTGAGGACTCGGGGACGAGTTTTGATTGGTGTTCTGAACAGTTATGGGGTCGAAGTCGTCGTTGTCACTCCACGACTCATCAGAGTCGCCTTCATCTTCGGCATCATTGCAAAAACGCGTTTCGGGGGCGAATGGACTTGTGCACATATTCCTCTGCAAGCCTCGTCCTCTTTGCAAAGGCGAATCCAGTGTGATAGACAAATCGGGCGAATGGTACAGGGAAGGGGAAGAAGGGGAAGATGAGGGATCACGAAAGAAACACATGGAGTCTCGGTTTGCTTGAGTAATATTACGAGATGTCGTTGGAGGAGTGGACGGTGTATCTTCGACAATAATCGCAAGAATGTCTAGAAAATGTAAATGATGAGTGGCCGTTTAGGGATATGAGGGCAGGATAATGTAGGTATCGTACCTTGATCAACCGTCTTTTCTCTTCCATCAGGGCGCGGAATTGTCGACAATAGTAATTCATCTTCAATAACGAACGCACGCGGTCGAGATTAACTAGGTTGTTGACAAACTTATTAATCTCGGTCCTCGTCACAAGCTCCTTCACGCTATAATCATGAGTCAGGGTAACGTTCACACACTCCGGCAAGTCAGATCATACCTTAGAGCATGCCGATTGTTAATGAGCTTGTGATGTGCCAACATAAGCGGCATGTTCGTGAGAATACATCCTTTGCAGGAGTTTGAGTTTTCTTTTTCGGATACGTCAGGAACACGAACTTGCACTGTTCGTATGAGAACAGAAGCTCAGACAGACTCTGCATCAGGGAAACACGCATAGAAGTGAGCGTCCTGTGTCTTTTGTTGTCAATCGGTTTTCTGTGACGATGATGTCGTCTGCTCTGTTGTAGACGTAGATGCATCCTTCACCTCAGACGATGTAGATTGCACGGTGGTAGCGGCTGGTGACGTCGCAGATGCGCGATCCTTTGAAAGTTCGGCTGCTATACCTTTAGAAGCAAGCTTGCCCACTCTCATCAGCTCACCAAACATGAAGTGAACGACAGATTCCAACGCTTCGGAGGATACCGGAGGACTACTTGACTTTGGACTATCAACCTGCATCGAAGTCGAGTCTTCCGTCAGAGGTTTCTCCGTAGCAGCAGAGTCAGGCGGGGCTTCGGCCACAATCGCCTTCAACGTAATCTTTCAGAGTGCACAGCTCTTTCGAAACGTCCAGGAATACTTGAGGATCGCGAGCCGCCATTGACGTTGAACTACGGACATACGTGAGGACTTCGACAATCTGCGATGTTGACAACCAGCGTTTTATCTCCTGTTTCATGACCCCGTCTCCAATACCGATCTATCTTCGTCGAGATGCCGCAAGATAATTGCAATGTAGGATTGGAAGCCTGCAACTGACGCGTCGCCAGCAGGCCCTTTTAAGCGCTGGAGAAGTAACGACACTCCATTCCGACGCACGAACTGATCAGCCATATTACGTTCTCGAAAGAGTTGAACGAGCATCTGCAGAGTAGCAAGCAGTTCATCGCGCAGAAGACTCAGGATGTGGAGGAGTCGTATACACAGCTCAAAGAGCATCGAACGTACCTCTATATAAGGAGGACCTACAACCAGCAGAGGAATAACGACTGGCTGATCAGCGAGGACCATAGGGACTGCTCGAGGTTCTTCTGCAGTGACTAGGAGCGACTCCATAGCGAGAAGGAGTGCTGGGAGCCACTTCGCCAACGTTTGAGATCTTTGTCGTGCGCAAGGGGCTGTGACAGAAGCAGAGCGTAAAGCATGTCCATTAAATTCTTTTCCTCCTTGCCCGATGTTTCGAGTGCAGCTTTCCGTGAATCAGCAAGTATGAGAGCCAACAGTCGGCACCTAACAGCGAGAGGTTCCTCCTACTCTTTGTACACAGCAGGAGAGAATTTCTCGATGTCTTATACAACACAGCAGATAGCTTCTGGCTGGTACTTATCGTTCGGTCTGATAATACGTGCCTTGCGCCGAGGATCAACGAAGGATGGGCATCTGCAAGCCTAAGCACCTGTGGTCCTATATCTGATACGAGGGACTTCCTGATCTCATCCAAGTCCTGTCGCCTCTCCTCGACCGTCTTTTGAGACTCGTAATCCTCCTTGATAGCAGTCTCTTGTGCAGGTTGTTCTTCAGGAGCTGCTTCGGTTTCGATAGAAGTATCAGCAGTATCCGCAGGAGCCCCGTTCGTCGCAGGCTCTTGTGCCGTTGTTTCAGCCTCAGGAGGCTATACCGCAGCGGGTGGATCCTCCAGAACAGGTTCAAATGGATGAGTCAACAGATACTCAGTTGCGAAGTTGACATTATTGTTTGTCCTGGGCAGCGCTCTAACAGCCGCAGCTCTTGGGAAGCCCATCACTGTCAACTGCCTGATACGATCTTCATCTGGCCGTTGAGACGGTCGAAGAAGACCTGACCAGAACTCGGGAATATTTCCGAACCAAAATCGAGCCTTGCTCCCTCGTTCTCGCCCGATGCTATTCCTCGGACATACTGAATAACATATTTGCTGACAGCCGGGGGTGCTGAGACGAGCCATGCCGACTGCTATATATCACGAGTTAACGGTGATATCTCCAACCTCATTTTGACGAGGAAGTCATGTGGTTCATAGAAATCGGGGTGGTTCTCTGGCTTGTCCTTCGAGATATACTGAGCAATTTGACCGGGATCTACAGCAGTTCAGGAATGATGGAAGGGTGTAATGCCAGATGGTCTTGCCCAGCCTGGTTAAGGCACAGTGCACCGAGAGCATTGGGGATAGATTGAACAACCTACGTGTGATACGTACCCATTCCACATCGCAGTAGTCAACGCGTTTACCAAAGAGTATACGATACAGGCTCCTCGCGAGGTGAGCACCCATGAGACGGCCATCGTAAATATCTTTCCCAATGACTCTGCCGTCAAACTAAAAAATACGACAAGTGATCGGGGTTGATCTCGGATGCTCACTTGGGTTGGTACGATTGCCTATTGCCTATCGACCGCACACGGTTCGAAAAAGAGCATAATTGGAGTTGAACATTTGGCGGATAAGAATTTGGAACCATTCTCGTGTGACACCACCCGCATCGACGCCTTCTTCAGCATAGAATCGTACGCTGAGCTTGCTATATTGTATCTGGTCACCAGTCTTGTGCTGGAAGGCATGGAAGCTGTCCTCGAAAACACGCAAACGACGAACATTTACTTGGAGGGATGGGTAGTGCTCCCTGGGATAAGGACGCTTGTGCAATCGCTGACTGAAGTAATTACGCTTGTTGTCGAAATCAAGAACTCTAGGGTTCTGTATGAGGAGAGAGAAAGATCCTGACGTGAGGGACGGGTTGTTTCGCACCATCATGTTCAAAATCTTCCGATGATCGTCAGTGAATCTAACGAACAGGTCATCCACAAATTCTTCTTCAGACAGTAGAGGCGAGCGCAGAGATCCAGGAACAGCTGGTGCTGACGTACTCTGCACCCCTACATCCTTGCAGACAATTATCAATGACTCGATGAGCGGTAATAGAATTGTCGCGATGTGCTCGACATTTTCTCTACTCTCCACCACAGTCAAGCAATCGCTAAATTTCTGCCAAAGCATGGTGAATCGGAACGTCTCATAGATCTCGCGAATACGGTCAGCTTGAGGCAAGTCCGGAGGGCGAATCGACGTGTTCTCTTGTTTCGAACACATATAATCAATGGTCTTCAAAACACGGAGAAACTTGGCCCGATCCGACGACGCCTGAGAGAATTTGGCGACTATTGCTGGAGGCAGGTCGCCTTGTGCTTGCGCGCTACTCAGTGCATCATTCAGTTCATCCAAGTGTTTAGAAAGATTAGTCCCGAAGTCATTCGCTTTGAGTCTTACTTCTTGGGCATCGACGTCTCGAGCATCTGGTAGGAATGAAAGGTGCTGAATGTTGGAATGTCCGTCCAGAGCATTCTCCAACAGTGACGATGTTTACGATAGTCTGAATGCGGGGTGGGGGATCTGTAGTGGGTTGGCTAAAAGGATCTTTTCCTCCACAGCCTCAACAGATGAAGCTTTATTATTAGGGCTCCAGCTGGTTGTGCAGCCGAGTGTTCTGTTGGAGGATACGTTTAGTTCAGGAAAAGCAGATGCGAACAAATGAATCTTACCTGCTGAGCTACTTGGCTCATGCGAAGTAGTAGGAGGTGCAGTTCCGGAAGAATCTTGCTGTGCACTTGATTCGGCAGGAGCGGATGGACGTTCTCCAGTGACTTCTTTCTTCTTTAAGTCGTCCTTTAAGCTCGTCAGGGGAAGCGTCACCGAGTCAAGTAATCCGGCAACAGAATCCATTATACTGAGAGCCTTCAAAAGCGTCTGGCGGTCAAGGAGACGTAGATGGGGTAATGCGATTGAGCCGCTTGCTTCTCCTTTTCTTCCCCTTTCTTTGAAATGCTTCTCTTCAGGCCTGCAGGTAATCCGTGCCCTGTCAGGAAAAAGAGAGAAGAGAGCTCGTTGGTGCCAACAATGTAATTGAGGGCATCCAGACAGCGTTGCACAATGCGGTCTGGAGGGACTTCACTAGGAACAATAGGAGATGCGATAGACAGTCCTGTATCCTTCTGTTTCCTAATATTCTTCGAGGTAGGATGTGCAGTAATACCCTTCCCGCCGCGGAAGGTCAACTGTGAGAGGCTCTTATCCACCAGAGCAAGATCACCCGTGCCGTCCTGCAAGATACTTAAAAGCACATTGAACAGTTCCGTTCGAGATTTGGAGTTCTCGCAAAGATAAAGGAGGACTTTGTGAAGCGTGCTCTTCTTGGATAATTGAGGGAAGATCAGAAGCCCGACGAGAGCTGCAATCCCTGGTCGTTCCAGCAGTTGGATTGCATCACGCGGGGGTGGCACCCTGCATGTGACGGGTGCGGTAGTATCACCAGGAGCAGCTGGTCGGGGGCTACGGTGGTGAAGATACGCAGTTTCACGATAAACACCAGCTTCGGCGACCATATGCGACGGGTGCGTCTGTAAAATACCGTCGGCCGAGTCTAGGAGAACGATCTGCCGTAGTTGCGGATCAAGGCTGGCGATGAAGTCTACTGGGCCCATGTCTGTTGGACCAATCGTTGGAACAGCAGTCTGCCCTTCACCATCCTGTTCGCGTTCTCGTCTGCTCCTCTCTAGCCGCTCCTCACGTAATATTTCTGCACGAATCTCCGGAGGCAAAGCATCAAGGAACACCGCGCTGACTTGAGACTCAACTAGAGCTGCGGCCTGGGTGGGACGTTGCTCTCGGAGGTGCTGGTTGAGTATTTCCTCCCGCATATCATCTGGAAGAGCTTCCAAAAACGTGGAATCAATGTCCGTGTCGGTGATGTCAACCTCATTCCCATTGATTGTGATGGTAACCCGCTCGGGTGCTGTTGAAGGGCCCGCCTCGGGTTCTGCCTGGATGGCAGCCTCAGCTTCTTGTGCGCTTTCGGTAGCTGCTATGGCATCGGCCATTTCGGTATCTTCATCCACTAGGACATGCTCACCGTCAGTACAACCCCCAGAAGTCGAAGCATCGGGTGCGACTTCAGGTGACACAGCCGCTCTCACTACAGCCTCACGTTCAGTTGCCGCCTTCTCCGCTGCCTCTTTTTCAGCCGTAGCCCTTTCTTCAGCCTCACGTGCAGCCTTCTCTTCCGCTTCCTTTGCAACTTTCTCTTCCGCCTCCTAGTTCACCCACCAGATCGGAAAATGCATTGCGTGAGAAAAGAAATATCACAATGTTTATTTGACCTACCCGTCAGTCGCAGAGAACATTTCGTCCTCGTCATCCTCATCTCCAGCTTGACCGTCTCCATCAACCATACCCGCGTCATCCAAGTCGTCTTCGTCTGCTTCCTCGAACATTAAGCCACTGTCCGGATCTCCCATTGCATTTTCAGGAAGCTTTTAACGAAAGAGATGAATGGACGATGAAAGTGAAATAGCCTAAGAGGCCTTACCTGACACATAATCTCTTCAGCAGCACCCTCTTCCTCTTCAAGGTCATCGCCTTCGTCTTCGTCTTCGTCTTCATTCATATCACTCATTCCCTCTGCCATCTCCTCATCCATATCCACCCATCCCTCCGGGGATTCGTCGATTATAGCATGCTCCTCTGCTCCTTCCTCTGGCTCTGTATTAGACGAATCCTCGCTGACAGACTCTTCATCATAGCCGACATCAACATCGTCCTCTCCCTCATCTTCATCCTCATTCATCTCGTCCTCATCCTCCTCATCGTAGTGCTCTTCCATTTCCTAGATGGACAAATGCGGTCAACTCAGATCAAGGAATAACATATCACTTTACTTACTCCTGCATACCTGGCAAATATAAATAATTCGTACTGTTCCGTAAAATTGACGAAGAAAGATAACTTAAATTCCAAGTGACGAATTACAATATAAATCGGTGGGTCTCTTCCCTTCGCTCTGTCTCCATGACATCGTCGTCCTCTTCATCGTCTTCATCAGAGTCATCCGACGGTCTGGACTCTGGGTCAGATTTTTCTTGTCTGAATCTCCTTTAGTCTTGTCCGAACGTCCCATCTTGAATGCTACCTTCGTCCTGACATTTTTAAAATTCAGTAAGTGTAATCTTGTCGTCATACTTTAAAATACGTACAAATATTCGAGGGGTCGAAGAATAGCCGCCACGAGACTGCGTATATACGGGTATTCGCCCGTATCTAGCATTCATAGGCTCACTCGCCAAGATCTCCTTGAAAGATCTGCTTATAGACCCCTAGACAAGTTTTCGAATCGAAGTCACGTCTGGCGCATTCTCCTGCGTCTCATGAGATGCAGGAGTGTCAACGCACAGGGCTACAATAACGGACATCGCCCAATTGCATAAGTTACCCGTTTCTCTGAATCGAACTTCGGGTCGGCATTGAAGGGACCAAACGACAGCAGTTCTGTTAGGAAGAAACTCAACGCAGGCGACTTCGAGCGCGAGAACACATCCTTTGCAGGAGTTTGGGTTTTCTTTTTCGGATACGTCAGTAACACGAACTTGCACTGTTCGTACGAGAATAGAAGCTCAGATAGGCTCTGCATCAAGAAACACGCATAGAGGTGAGTGTCCTGTGTCTTTTGCTGTCCATCCGTTTACTGTGACGATGATGTCGTCTGCTGTGTTGTAGACGTGGATGCATCCTTCACCTCAGACGATGTAGATTGCGCGGTGGCAGCGGTTGATGACGTCGCAGATGCGCGATCCTTCGAAGACTCAGCTGCTATACCTTCAGAAGCAAGCTTGCCCACTCTCATCAGCTCGCCAAGCAAGACGTGAACGACAGGTTCCAATGCTCTCGAGGACACTGGAGGAGCGCTTGACTTTGGGCTGTCAATCTGCATCGAGGTAGAATCTTCTGTCGGAGGCTTCTCCGTTGCAACAGAGTCAGGCGGGGCTTCGTGTCACGCTCGCCTTCAACGTGGTCGGATGATTAGGGACGTCGGGCCGTACCAGAGTGCGACGTTCTTTCGTGACGTCCAGGAATACTTGAGGACCGCGAGCCGCCATCGATGTAGAATTACAAACATATGTAAGAACTTCGACAGTTTCGAGCGGAAATTTGACAACCAGCGTTTGATCTCCTGTTTCATGACCGTCTTCAACACCAATCGATCTTCAACGAGATGTCGCAAGATAATTGCAACGTGGGACTGGAAGCCCGCCACCGACGCATCGCCAGCAGGTCCTTTTAAGCGCTGGAGGAGTAACGAAACCCCATTCCGACGCACGAACTGTACAGCCATGTTACGATCTCGGGTGAGCTGCACAAGCATCCGCAGCGTGGCGAGCAGTTCGTCTCGCGGAAGACTCGGGATGTGGAGGAGCCGAATACATAGCTCAAAGGGCATTGATCGCGCTTCTGCATAAGGAGGACCAACAACCAGAGGAGGGATAACAATCGGTTGATCAGCGAGGACCATAGGAACTGTTCGACGTTCTTCTGCAGTGACAAAGAGCGACTCCATCGCGAGAAGGAGTGCCGGGAGCCATTTCGGCAATGCCTGATCTTTGTCGTGAGCAATAGGCTGCGACAGGGGCAGAGCATAAGCATGTCCATCATATTCTTTTCCTCCTTGCCTAAAATCTAAAGTGCAGCTTTTGGCGAATCGGCAAGAATAAGAGCCAACAGCCGGCATCTAACAGCGAGAGGTTTCTCCTGCACACCGTACGCAGCAGGAGAAAACTTCTCGATGTCTTGTACAACGCAACGGATAGCTTCTTGCCTATACTTATTGTTCGGTCCAATAAATACGTGCCTAACGTCGAAAATCAATGAAGGATGTGCATCTGCAAGCCTAAGTGCTTGTGGGCCTATATCTGATATGAGAGACTTCCTAATCTCATCCCAATCCCGTCGCCTCTCCTCGATCGTCTTTTAGGGCTCGTAATCCTCTTCGATAGCAGTCTCTTGCGCAGGCTGCTCTTCAGGAACCGGTTCAGTTTCCATAGGCGCATCCGCTGGGGCCTCGTTTGCTACAGGCTCCTGTGCCGTTGTTACAGCTGCAGGAGGCTGCACTGCAGCAGGTGGTTCCTCTGGAACAGGCTTGAATGGATGAGTCAACAGATACTCGGTCGCGAAATTGACATTATTGTTTGTCCTGGACAGTGCTCTAACAGCCGCAACTATTGAGAAGCCCATGTCCGCCAACTGCCTGATACGATCTTCATCTGCTGGTTGAGACGGTCGAAAAAGACCTTGACCTGAAGTCAGCAATATTCCCGAACCAAAGTTTGGCCTTGCTACCTCGTTCTCGCCCGACGATATTTCTTCTTAATCGGACTGAATAACATCCTTGCTGACGGCTGGAGGCGCTAAGACGAGCCATGCCAACTGCCATATATCGCGAATTAACAGTAATATCTCCAACCTCATTTTGACAAGGAAGTCATGCGGTTGATAGAAATCCAGGTGGTTCTCTGGCTTGTCCTTCGAGATATACTGAGCAATTTGACCGGGATCTATGGCAGGTTTGATAATCATAAGATAGAGCAAGTGAAGAGCCATCTTCAGTCGTCCAAAGACGTGCACGCGCTCTTGTTGATCACTTTCACTCCGGTCTGCGGCTCTAACCTCAAAAATACGAGAAATAGTAGATGTATAGCGACGGCACGTATCCGGGACAGCGTCCAGACCTCCGACCTTTCGGAATTGAAGGAGCAGCACGGCGTGGTAGTTTGTCTGCGAGGCTCATTCTGTAAAGTAAAGTATTTTAATGGCCCGTGTCATTTCGGCCGAAAAAAACACTTACCATCGAAAAGGAGGAATGTGATCGAGCAAATCATGACTGTATGGTATCCATACAAGAAAGTCGGGTTGCCTTTCAGGATAAGCGAGACATGAGTACATAACTTCTCCGATAGAAGAAAAGTTAGTCTCACCATCCGTAACTTCGGTCAAATGCTTGTACATGATATCCGCCAATGTCGCCGATATGGAAGCAGCTTGCTTCTTCTGTGCTTTGTCAGGATTACGCCTATTTTACAAAAGCATCTTCGCCACAACGCGATATGCTTCAAAGCCACAGCGTTCCGATCCTTAGGGCTCTCTGTCTTCTTTTGTCCATCTCTGGAGTTGATTCGGCTGGTGGTTGACCGTCAGGTTGCGTCGTACCGGTACCGCCCAAATCCGGGATAATATCCACAGTCGTGTTCTGCAGTAACCCAACAGCATGTCTGCCGTGCGTATATCCGGCCGTCGAATAAACATCCGAAAGAAGAGTTATGTGGACGTGCAAAGTGATCAACTTGTGGAAGAAGACATTAGCTCTTGATAACTCCTTATGGATGGTGACGAACGAGCTCATCGATGGAACTTTCGATGGACACGGCATTCTCCTTTTCAAGGAGAACCTTGAGATGCGCTTCCAGCGTGAATATCGAAAATAACGCTGGGATGATGGAAGGATGTGATGCCAGATGGTCCTGTCCAGCCTGATTAAGACATAGTGCACCGAGAGCATTGGAGATTGATTGGACGACCTCTGGCCCTCCAAAGAACAGACGGCTACCAATTCGCATAGTCGGACGGCCTAGACCTAACGGATCATCTATTGACTGGCTGAACGCGACTGTATGCTCTAGTTCTCCTAATTTGCCCACCAGACTGTAAAATGCATTGCATGAGAAAAGAAATATCACAATGTTTATTTGACCTACCCGTCAGTCGCGGAGAACATTTCGTCCTCGTCATCCTCATCTCCAGCTTGACCGTCTCCATCAACCATGCCCGCATCATCCAAGTCATCTTCATCCGCTTCCTCAATCATCAATCCGCTGTCTGGATCACCCATTGCGTTTTCAGGAGGCTTTCAACGAGTTGGGTAAACGGACTGACCGGACCGACAAAAGTCTATGACAAAGATCCGACATCGCAAGGATTCGTTTATATCTTACATCCATAGGCTCACTCACAAGGGCGTCCTTGAAATAACTGTTTATAGACTCTAAGACAAGTTTCCGAATAGATGCCACGTCTGGCGGAGGTGGAAGTATGGCTACTGTTGTAACGTAACGTCCAGAGCGACATTGCAAAGAAATGCTGCGAAAGCTGACCAGGCCTTCCCGTCAGTTTTCAAATAGATGCCACGTCTGGCAGAGGTGGAAGTATGGCTACTGTCGTAACGTAACGTCCAGAGCGACATTGCGAAGAAATGCTGCGAAAGCTGACCAGGCCTTCCCGTCAGTTTTCGAATAGATGCCACGTCTGGCAGAGGTGGAAGTATGGCTACTGTCGTAACGTCTACTATGAATAAGGTGTGGTAAAGGTATGCATCCAGTCTGCCAGTCCTACTTTCAAATCGTCAGACAGAAGGCAATAATACAGGTGACGAACGAATTTCAGGTTGGGTTACACTAACAAGTTGCATACAATAGAGCTCAGTCAAGTGTATCAGCAATGAGAGACCCATGGTATAAAGCATAGGGGGTCAGGAACATCGTCCAACGTAATGGCCCTGTTTTCAAACTGTAAGAAGCTGTCACAAGAGACGACCCGAAATCAGGTTGGATTGTACATACAAGTCACATACAATAAAGCTCAGCTGAGAGCATCAGCAATAGATAGTGTGTAGGTTAGGCCACAGGAAGGTGGGTAAGGAGCCCACCCAGCCTACACATCCTAAAACTTGCAAACTGTCAGGAGACAAACCAAGTTTGAGCATAATTGTACCAACAAACCATATGCAGTGTCTCCTGTACCAAAAGAATATTACAGAAGGATGTCCATACACTGTCTGTCATGAATGAGTGAAATGGATGGGCTAAGACAGAAGAGGGACATCGTCGGAGTGTTGGGATTTGAGAGGGGAGAGACAAGGTGTCAGACGATTTCTTACGTCATCATAACGAGGGTCAAACAGCATGTCAGTTCGTGTGACAGTAACTAAAAACAACAGTATATTATCAGGCACGTTTGGCACACCTCTTTCTGAGGTAGAACCTTCTAAATTGGGCAAGGTTTAACTCAAAACCTTATTTGCATAGAGGTACGGTTTAGCAGCCTGCACCACAGATGTTGTCTCTGATCCTTTCACAACAGTACAAATATACAATCAGGATATCCCCTATTCACTACACTGCATGATACATTATGGACCTAGATGAACGTCTTCGGGGACGAGGAGGGGTGACATGTCACATGTTCACGTTATAGTAAGCTGCAAAAGGAAAGTCTGTCTCAGACTCCAATATTTTCAAATTCAAATTCATGATCCGAACACATTGTCTTATTTACATATACAGTCCCAAAATACTATCACAGAAAATAAAGGGATAAACTACACCCTAATAAATATGCTTAACATGACGTACAGTGCTGGACCCTCTCAGATAGACCTGTATACGCCTGCAAACTACAGCTACACATATGAACCTGGATGTATGTCTTCGGAATGAATTCAGAAGGCAATATAGATTGTTGGAGGCAAAAGTATTGTCTGTTGTCAGGCACAGCAACAATGTGAACAGATTGTCATTAGTAGGAGCTGACCTCAATGCTTATATATCTCTGTTTGGCCAAGTGAGTCAAGCTACTCGTCTACCTGTTTTGTAGTTAAATAAAATTTCTGAAAACAGTACACAAGTATCTTTGATGAAAATGAAGCAGGGGTGTTGATCGATAACTTGTCTCGAATGAGAACAGATATACAACTTACATACCAGAACTCACTGGAACATGCTCATCAGGGGTTTCAACAAGTTTTAACTTGCTTATACTCAGGAGAACGAGGCCAGCCACAATATCAAATTGACCCTGAGTTTCTGAAGGCAGCTTATGAGTTGTGTTCAACACAATCAATCACAGACTTTCTTGGAGTAAATCATTCTACTGTCTGGAGAGTGATTCTAGATCTTGGCCTTGATGAACGAAGGGAGAACCCATTTGTTGATAATGTATCCAGAGTCATATCATACACTAGATGTGTTACCAGTATACCTGACAATGCTCTGGACAAGCTTATCAGTTCTATTTGACTTCAGCATGGCTATGAACCTGGCATCTCGTTAATCTGAGGATATCTACAATCAGAAGGAATTGTTGTGCTGAAAGAGCATATTCGGCAGTCTCTATTGAGGTTATTCCCACAAAGGTTGTTTGGCCAACCACCAGTAGAGTGATACAAATACAATGTACCTGGTCCAAATGCATTGTGGCACTATGATGGGCAGCATAGTAAATATATACTACATATTGTAGAAGCTGTATTATTAATTAGTTTATAATAAAGGACTTATTTGATGGGGAATTGTTATACACAGAATTATTGATAGCTACTTGTGTCTTATTACAGGCTTACAGGCCTCAGATAATAACAAAGGCAAGACAGTACTTAAACTGTTCTTGGATGCTACAAGTATCTACAAGGTTCCAGTATGTGTAAGAGGAGATCATAGTGTAGAAAACATACAGCTTACAGTATGGATGGAGTGGTTTTGTGGTCAAGGTTAGAAAGCATACATATGGGGCAGGTAAGTAGTAGATTCTGTTATGATTTTGTCTGCCTGACAATTATATAGGTCTGTTCATAATATTCGTATAGAACGACTGTGGGTGGACATAATGAGACAAGTTGGCTCATGGTGGGCAAATCGATTCTGGCTGCTAGAAGAGCAAGCTGGTTTGGATATAAACAACTGAAATCACATCTGGCTATTACACCACCTGTTCTTGCATTCATTGAATTCTCACCTTGAAGCATTCAAAAATGGATGGAATAATCATCCAATGTGTTTATCTGGTCAACAAAGCTGATCCCCACAGGATATGTTCTTCTTTGATATGATTGCACTAGGAGAACAAGGAGACCCACTTCCTCATTTTGACAATGACAATAGCTCTCCTTCAGAGTACACAGAGGAAGAAATCGAGGCAGAGTTCTATGGTGTGGACTGGGATGAACTGGATGATCTAGTATCTGACAAAGTATTTCAACACCTAGATAATATGAATGAAATTGACCTACAATCACCAGGTAGTCCAGTTAATATAGAGATAGTATCTGGTTTAAACAGTCATCTTTCTGGTCTTTCTTGAGGGAATGCAGATGCTGAAATAGTTGATTTGTGGCTTGAAGCACTGTCTTTCCTTAGAGTTAGAGGAGAAGGATTTTAACTGGACAAAGGCACATTTAGGAATACTAGTATATAAAGATACATGTCACTTTAAATATACAATTAAAATACTCAGGTTTGATTCCATTCAATATTGGTAAACTAACAAGCATTATAAGACTTTCTACAATACTATATCAGAGGCTAAAATTTCTCACAACTTGAAGTATACTATTTATAATACTGTCTATTTATAATCAATACTATAACTATTAGAGTATAGAATGACTGCCTATAGCAGTATATAATTCAGAAAGTAACCAGTGGTGGAAAGCCATATGAGTACTACTTGGTTCACTTTGCCTGTCATACTCTCTATTTAGTAGATCTATCATATAAGAAATAGGGATTGTTGCAGTTTTGCTACAGGTCTGAAATTGTATTTTGCCCTGCTGTGCAAAGGCAACAGCTGATCTGCACCCTGACTGATAAGACAGATTGCTAGTATTGACAATGTTAATCTGTTTTGAGTGAACATATTAGTTTTGCCAGAATTCAATCAATATATTTCATACCATAAGTTGATTTTCTTCAGCTGGTAAGTATACACTCCCTGTTGCTGCCCAAACGAAAAGTTTTGCTCGTGTATCAGGCCTATCCAACTCTGCTAGGTCGAATTGTTGGCCATCATTGAAGTTGTCCACAAGTTCACAAAACTTGGTAGGGCAAGGGATGCCAGTTGTATGGAGAAAATCAGACAGCAAATGCTGCACAAGTAGTCAACCAGAAGTAAAGCCATGTGCTTGTACAATGTCTGTGAGTGCTTCTAACCTTACTGACTGAATAAATATATTGAGAGCCATGCATACTCTTGTAGCATCTGTAATCCAAGATGCAAATGCAATGCTTATTAATGCTTCACTGCCACCTTCAAGAGCATGAACAGCCTGATAAAAATAAGAGTTACTAAGAGAACTAAATACAGTTTAAATACTTACCTTTGCTAAGCTAAACCCATTCTTACACTGAAGGTGCATACCTTTGAAAAATGCTTGTATCTCCCAATGAAAAATACTAGATGACCCAAGAACAGATTGGTAAAGCATGTCACAAGCAACGAGCTGATGGGTTGTGTTGTCCCTATGAGTATATATTCCTGGCTATATAATGGATTAAATGAGAGTATTAAGGGATCTAACTAGAAGCAACTCACTTGTACACCCATGACTGTAACAAAGAAATCTCTGAACTTAGAGTCTGTTGCATCTCCAGTAGCACCAATGTTTATCCAGTCATGAATTAGACTGTAGAGCTGTGGATGCCAGGTTTTTACAAACTCTTTGTGTAAGGATTGAAAGTTGCAACTGTGAAATGCTAGCTGGACAATACATGGTCTGATTGGCTCAGGAGCAATCTTGTTAATTATGGCAAGAGAAAAAAGGGCACCAAGGGTTGTAAGGTTGAGTAGGCACTCCTCTGGAGTGTGTGCAGCAGTACTCTCAGTTGTGAGGGTTTTAATTGTAGAATACTCATTAAAGACTCTATCAAACCAGCAAGCATATGAGTTCTGGAACTTTCTCAGAGCATACTGTAAAACGTTGTGCTCAATGCCAGATCCAAATGTTACTACTCTTCCAGCTTGCTCAATTCTAAATATTTAGTAGTAGTCAGCTAGAGCCAAGTTATATATAATACAACATACTCAAAATGTCTGCAAGGTTGAGGAACAAGTACTTCAGAG